TATTTTGATGATTTGATCCTATTGTTTCAATGAAATTGTCCAAAATTTGGTGTTTATAGTTTGCAATTGTACCTCATATTACGGAATAGCCAATATATATTGGGGCACCTCGCCATATTTTTATACCCTACAACACTATGTGTTGGGGGTATTATAAATTTGATTGGGCGAAAAATTATGTAACACCTCGAAATATTGGTTTCCCACATAGGAAAGTATATATGGGTCTTCCTAGCTCGCCGAGCTGGGTCGATCTAGCTATGTATGTCCGTCCGTCCGTCTGTCCATGTTAATTTGTAATCAAGCTACAGGTCGCAATTATAAACCGATCCTCACGAAATTGAAAATGGAGGTGGGGTTAGGGTCAGAATAGAACCCTATTGTTTTTGGAGATGATCGCACGATATTTAGGGGTTGAAATGGACCCAAAACAGAAAAATTTCCTGATTTTGCAGTTGCTCAATTATGAACCAATCGACCAAAAATTTACATGGAGTTAGAGTTTGAGACTGGTCAGAGACCTACTAATTTGAGCGGCCATCGGACAATAATTAGCGGGTAAAATATACACTAACTTTTATGTTAGAAAATAGGAAAATTTCCACTAAACCGCGAATATTTTTAATCCCAGCCAAATCACAAATACATTAAAAGATAACTTCTGACCATTACAGTGATGCTAATAGCCAAGAAATCGGATATATATCAAAATAGGTGCAATATATATGTAAAAGAATTGATCTTATTTATTCTGCTTATAAATCAAGAACCGCTGGGCCGATTTTCACAATTCCCATCAATTCGGAATGGTTTTTGCCAGAAAAGCAGCAAATCTAAGAAAATCGCTGAAAAATATACCAGTAAAAAAGTGAATATTTTTTGTTCCATTTTTTCAATTTTTGTCATATTTTTTATCGCATGCGATTTTTTCAATTTGACTTACAATTTTGAATTGTAAATTTTCTAAATGTTTACACCCTTCAACACTACGTTTTGAGGGTATTATATGCATGTCGCAATTATCGTCCGATCCTCACGAAATTTGGCATGGTGTGGGTCGGAATTGAAACCTATTGTTCTTAGGATGTGCATTTAGAGGTTTAAATGGCAAAATGTATTTGCCTATATAGGGACTTCGAACACATTGTAGTGTTGTAGGGTATCACATAGTCGCACGACTATAGCCTTTGCTTACTTCTTAAAATTGAAATTTTAAGATATGGTTGGCAATTTGCATTTCAAATTTTCGAGTTCGCATAACGGTACTTCCCTGAATTTTGAATTCTTGCAATAACAGCACTATTTGAGAAAGACATTTATGCCTATTTTCTATTCCTTTCTTTTCTGTGAAGCATATTTAAAATTCCACTATACCATATTGCCGATATATTCTACATTTCCTTGCTACCCTCCGCTGCCAATCTTTCCAAAGTGAAATGAATGTTGTTGGATTTTGGTAAAGTTGTTGCCAACTGCCAACGCTTAAGAATTCGCAATTTGCAATGGAAGATCTATTCTGTGATATATTCAAACGTCATCGATGCAATGGTGATGATGTAGCTGATTTTGACACAAATCTTATCTTCTTTTTTCTTGGCTTCTCGTATGTTATTTATTTTCTACGGTTGCTGCCAGCGATGATGAACATCGAGTTAATGATGGTGTTTTTCTCCCTTTTGAAGTTGATCGACTAAAAACAACATTGTCAATGGGAAAAGTTTATACATCAATTTGGGTTAGTTGGTTTACCTCCCCCAGCCCCTTCCGCATATTGAAATAATTTGTTTTTGATGTAATGGTTTTATGGAAGGCAATGGATAAACATCTGTTTGTGTCAAGGGGAAAAGTAATCATTTATCCTAGGTAATGTATTGCAATTGAATGACGAAATTGTATAAATATAAATAACAATTATCAAATATGATAAAAAATCAAAATATAATTTTGAAATATCGACGTTTAGTGCGTTTCAAGTATTTTATTTTAATTTTTATTCGAGACCTATGATGCATTTAACCTTTCCAAAATGTCTTGCAAAATTTGGTATTATATATGACCAATTTTCCTTCTAGTCCCTGTGATGATGGTCTAAGTTTTGGCAGTATTATTAATTCAAAACTTACTCTTAGATAAATAAAATGGCTTAAACCTAACTATACTATAAATAAACATGAATTTATACAACTACTTCTACTTTACCTTAACTAAAAGTCCAACAACATGTTCGTGGACACAACATTATGCCTTAAAGCTACAGCTATTAAAAACTTACGAACTAGGTAAGAACAAGTAAAAAAGTAGCTAAGTTCGGCCGGGCTGAACTTTTTATACCCTCCACCATTTGGAAGAAACTTGAGAAATTTCAAAATCAATCTAAAAAATACCGCTCAAATGAAAACCATTATATGAGACTATAACGGTTTCGATCTTATATACGAAATTTCAAATAATTCCGGTGAATAATGCGTAAAAATTATGAAAATGTCGAATACCCGTTACCGTTATGTGAGCCCGTTATATGGGCGCTATACTAAAACATGGACCTATTTAGACAATTGTCTTCGAGGGGGGTAAAGTAACCCTTGTGTGAATTTAAAGACAATACCAATAAAAAATTTGGCTAAAATCATCAAAATACCGAATATCGGGTGGTATCGTTATATGGGAGGTATACGATATCGGCGACCTATACAGACAATTCTCATACTTTATTCCCTAAAAGTACTCAAAAGGAACTCCTGATGTGAATTTTCAGACAATTCGGATGAAAATGCGGCTAAAATCATCAAAATACCGAATATCGGGAGGAAACTTATATATAGGGGTCATATATCGTCGACATATGTAGATAATTCTCTTCCAGGGGGTAATGTACTCACAAGGAACTCTTTTGGATTTTAAGACAATTCCATTTAAAATTTTGGCTGAAACCTTAAAAATACCGAATATCGGGGAGTGTCGTTATATGGGGACTGTACGATATGGTGGATCTATATAGACAATTATCTTTCAGAGGGTAAAGTACCCACAAATAACTCCTTGTTTAGAATTTCAGGCTATTCCATTGAAAAATGTGGCTAAAATCGTCAAAATACCGAATATCGGGGGTACCGTTATATAGTGGCTATACGATATCGTGGACCGATATAGCCCATTTTCGAACTTGACCTATCTTCATACAAAAGACAGATCTGTCAAAATTTTAACTTTTTATCTTTATTCGTTTTGACTGTAGCGTGATTACAAGGGTGGCAGGAGGCAAATTCTTCTGAGCTCAAAGCTAGTCCGCATTCTCAAAGCACCTTAAAATACCCTCAACGATGGTATTACCTATGAACTGCTACTTGTCTAAGAATGCCAGTCCAGTCTTAGTCATAAAGACGTCTATCCTGCACCCATCGATCGATCGATCTACAAGAATGGGCTCTATGGAGGATGAGTATTTTTCTTCCCCACATCCTTAGTCTTTCCATCTGGTGAGACGAAATATCAAACCAGACGGGGAAGGTATAGGCGACGATAGGTCTGATCACCTGCTGGTAGATCAAAAGCCTAACATCGGGGGAAATAACCTCATCCGCAAGATTCGAAGTGGTATATATGACGAATATTGTTGAAGTAAGTATTTTATCATATCTGACAAAGAAACCTGATCCTAGTCTGTTTTAAGAACCGGCTGAAACCTTCTAAAATTAGGGTATACTATGTCCAGCCGACCAAGGATGGTCATAGCACATTCTACATTCAATTTTAGGCGTCATGTATCGAAGTACCGTTGGAGGGCATCGTAAATGCGCCTATTGACCGACCTAGCAAGCGGACCGGAAAAGCCTAATAAGACATCATCGGCATAGGCCAGGAGAAGACCACCAGGGGGAGGAGCCCGGAAAAGATGTTGTACAACATCGGACAAAGGAGGGAACCTTGAGGAATCCCTGTCAACACAGAGTGGCGACTAGAGAGTCGTTCAAGATTGGCTGTCAAAGCCAAACGATTGGAGAATCAAGAATCAATCAAGAATAAGCCTTGGCAGTGTCTAGGGAGACGCTATATTTCCGTATTTCCTGTCGAAGCCTTTGCCAATAAAGCTACTAAAAGTCGATAAGGCATGGGTCGTGGAGAGACCAAACCTAAATCCGTACTGACAATCCCGTAGAATACCCTTTTCTTTTACGGTTCTTCTAATCATTGCACTTTCCGAACGGTGATAGAAGGAAAAAAGGCCTGTAGTTACCACACTGAGGATCAGTATCCCGCTTTAGTATCCTGGCCTCCTTCCAAGCTGTAGGAAAGTACCCTAAATTATGGCAATGATTGAAGAGGATTGGATGGACCGAATTACATTCCCTGCCCTTTTCAAGGCTACATTGGGAATTTAGTCCATACCGTAGGATTTACGGGCTGATTGGCAAACCCAATCTTCCTGGGATATAAAAAACCGCTATATTCTCAAAAGAAGATTTTATCCACAGAGGAACCAATAGTAACGAATGAACTGCTAAACGACACAATAGGAGAATGGTCTCCAATCCCCTCCTCTGCTAAGTTCAGTTGACGCTGAAAAAAATCGTCGACCGAAACTCCCCCATGTCGAAGCGTTCCCTGCACCTGGTCCGCCAGCATATCAGCCTTATGTTCGTCAGAACTTATCTTACCACCAGTGGAGTCTGATGGTCTAAAATGATCTCAAATATAATTTAAAGTATTTTTCTCAATTTATAACTCTTGTACCAATTCACACAGCAGCAAAACCATTACCCTTTGCCACAATAATTGAATATCTCGTTAAATAATAAACATATTTGTGAATTTCAGTAACAACAACACTTTAACAATTTCCACAATATCTATAATTCAATTTATTTAAATCCCATTTTAATTAAAAACTTTTTTTACGTAAAACATTTCCACATGAACAAGTTTTTTTAACTAACCAACTTTTTTTGTTCTTGTTTTTGCTCTACTATTTGTTTGGCAATTTTATTTACATTTCTCAACAGATTTTAATGTGAAACATCAATAATGCCTTGCATGTTGCCAAAAACAAGGAGGACAAAATGGCTTCAACTATTCACCACCATAAGCGTCTTGTTGATCTCCCTACACCCGCACCGCACACTGGCCATACCGGCTGCCACAAACTCCCTGCTGCTCAACTCGCCAGCTAGCCAGAATAGTAACAACAATCCATTGGTCCTGCTCAGCAGCAGCAGCAGTGGCGTCGGCGGCAGTGGCAACATCAACAACCTAAACATGAACATGAACAACAATCCTAATAACAATAATAATCACAACACCAACAACATTAATATCCTCAATAGCAATAACAACAATAACGATAACATCAATGGCAATATTGGCAATGTTTTAAATGTCAACAATCAAGGAGCCATTAATTCCAATCCGTTGGCCAATAACAATGGCATGGCCAATGCGAATGTGGCAACGGGTGACATTAATATGACCGGTGGTAATGGCAATTTGCCGGTTATATTGGTCAATTCCGGTACGGGCGGTGTTGATGTGATGAATGCCACCGGCCTGGGTATGGCAGTGGGCGGCGGGATGGTGGTAAATGGTGTTGTGCCCGGCGGTAGTATTGGTAATATTGTCGCCCTGCCAAAGGAGAAGATATACGAGAAATGTACGGGCCCCGCCGATCCGGGATCATGTAAGCAGTACACATTCAAGTGGCGTTACGAATCAACTACCAATGAGTGTACCTCATTCATTTGGGGCGGTTGTGAGGGAAATGCCCAGAATCGTTTCAACAGCGAGGCGGAGTGTCTGTTTCATTGTATTGGAGCACCACGTGAGTATATAAAGTCTCAATTTGAATTTGAACCAAATCCGATTGAGAGCTTCGAACTTGTTACTTTTCTGACCAAATCAGTGAACTTGATGGTTTGGACGAAAATTCCTTGGAAAGAAATTCGACCAAATCGGTGAACTTAATGATTTGGTCGAATTTCTTTTCAATGAAGGACGTCCTATTCAAGAATCGTTGATTTAAAAAATATCAAGGATGTCCTGACCAACGATCGAGATTTCAAAAAAAAAAAAAAAAAAAAAAAAAAAGGCAATAAGTCCTATTTGGGGATATTTTAAGCAAAATATCAAAAAACATGGATAAAAAATAGAATTTCGAGAAGTTTCTGGCTAAAAATCAAGAATTTCCCGTCTAAAAACTGGATTTTGGGGCTTATAATTGTGAATTTAAAAAAAAAAAATAAGGACTTCCTAGCAATGAATCGCGGAAGACACCATGCCAAATAACCGTAATTTTTTTTTCTAAATATGGTGAATTAAACAAGTTTTGTCGACAGCTATATACCCCCAGCCTTATGATATGACTATTCTAACTGTTGACCCTTTATGGGTGAGGTTCCAAAGCTTTTGGTACCAGATATGGCGGACCGAAATATTCTACTTCATCTAATACAGATAAAAATATTGGTATGAACAAAATTTAAAGGAAATCGAACACTTATATCCAATTTTATACGAAATCATAAATTCCGATAAATTACATATTCACATCAGATTTCTGATTAAGAGAAACGTTTAGATATGGCAAGTTGTATAGAATCGCCGACTTATGACAGATAAAAAATATTGAAAATTGTGCCCCTTTGTGGGTGAGGTACCAGAAAGGATTGGCAGATATCTACCATATTCACAACATATTTTGCGTTAGCAAAAATGTTTGGGTATGTGAAATTTAAAGAGATCTCTATGCTTGTTTCGAATTTTATGTAGTTTCGTTTTTCAAAATTTTTACACTTTGTGGGGGAGATACCAGAAGTAGTGGACCGAGATATCCCATTTTCACAGTAGATCTTGTGTTAGTAAAACTAATGGGATGTGTGAAATATGAAGAGAACCTGATGCTTATTTCGGATTTAATAATCGTTTCGGCTATTCGAAACTTTGGCCCTTTGTGGGGTAGGTACCAGAGGGAATGGTCCGATCTCTATCATCTTGTCTTAATGAAAATATGGAGATGTCTGTTGAAGTCTGAATGGAATCGGATATTAATTTCGCATTTTATGAGCTTAGGAGTATACAAAATGTTGACCCTGTGTTGGGGAGGTACCAGAAAGAGTGGACCAATATGTTCCATCTTCACACCAGACTTTGGGTTAATAAAAATATTGCGATGTGTGTAATTTGAAGACAATCCGATGCTTATTTTACATTTTATACGAGTTATAATTATTCAAAATTTCGAGCCTTTGTGGGGAAGACACTTGATGGGGTGTACCGACATTGTCCATTTTTGCACTTGACCTAGCACTGATGCAAACATTAGAGTTTGAAAAGTTGAAGAAAAATTGGATTATGCTTTTTTTTCTCTGCAGTAAAATATTTTTTGAAAATTTCGACATTTTGTGGGGGAGGTACCAGAAGGAATGTACTGATATTGCCCATCTCCGAGCTCGATCTAAGCTTGATAATAATATTCCGATGTACCAAGTTTAAACCAAATCGGATACTCCCTTCGAGAGATATCATGCGCAATAGCCAGACAGGCAAACAGACGGACGGACATCGCTAGATCGACTCCAAATGTCCTGAAACGGATTTGGTCCAAAGAGACCTAAGATTTAAAACGCTATTTTTATGAGGCACTTTTGGCCGTACAAAATTACCGATTACCAATGTACCTAGTTTAAACCAAATCGGATACTCCCTTCGAGATATATCATGCGCAAAAGTCAGACAGGCAAACCGACGGACGGACATCGCTAGATCGACTCCAAATGTCCTGAAACGGATTTGGTTCAAAGAGACCTAAGATTTAAAACGCTAATTTTATGAAGCACTTTTGGCCGTACCAAATTATATATACTCTATCTAGCCATATGGGTGAGGATATAAAAAATCGACAATTTCCTGCCCAAGAGTATTGAATTAAAATAAAGTTTGAAGTACTTCCTGTGCAACAAACTTTGATTTTTACGAAAATCCAATACCGAATATTGTTAAAAAATTTTATGAAATTTCAAGGACCTCTTCGCCAGGAAGCATGGATTTCAATAGAATCTGGAATTGTGGATTTAAGACGTTTTTTAAAGATTTTCTGACAAAGAATCGCGGATTACATAACATATTTTAAGAACTTGCTTGTGAGACATGTGGTTTTATTAAAGGACAATGACCATAGACTTTTTTTAAAGGATTTCAAAGGGTAGTGGATTAAAAAAATCTTTCAAGGATTTCCCTCCATGATATTTAAAAACAAGGATTTTCTGTGCATTTATAATGGATTTTTGTATTTACAGTGATTTCCTGGTCAAGAAAGTTTTTTAAGATTATAAACACATTACTTTCGCCCAAAATTTGTTGATTTAAAAAAAATATTTCGCCAAAACCTGGGAATATAAAAAAAAACTTAAAGATCTTTCGGATCAAAAATCAAGGACTTCCAGAATAAGAAAAATTATCTTAGACTTCCTCCAAAAAATGATTTTTTTTAAAGAAATTTCCAGGATTTTTTTTAATTTTGATGACGCCGTTTTTAGAAATCGTGAACTTTTTTAAAAATATTTTCAAATACTTTCACTTGAAGAGTCATGGTTTTTATTAAATGTTCCAGAAATTTCTTAACAGTAGTCGATATTTAAAATTTTTATGAAACGGATTTGGTCCAAAGAGACCTACGATTTAAAACGTTGTCAGTCAAAATACCGAATATAGGGATGTACTGATATATGGGCCCTATACGAAGACCTGAACCAGCATAGATAATTTTCTGTCTTAGGGTGTAGTATTCAATTCGAACTTTAAATACCAAATTTGAAACAATTCTGGTGAATAATGTCGCAAAAATCATCAAAATACCGAATATAGGGGGGGTACCGTTATATAGGGGCCATACGAAGATGTGGACCTGCACAGACAATTTTCGGTCTAAGGGTGAAGTATCCAATTCGAACTTCAAATACTAAATTTGAAACAATTCCCGTGAATAATGTCGCTAAATTCATTAAAATACCGAGTATCGGGAGGTACCGTTATATGGAGGCTATATGAAGACGTGGACTTGCACAGACAATTTTCTATCTTAGGGTGTAGTATCCATTTTGAACTTTAAATACCAAATTTGAAACAATTGCAATGAATAATGTCGTTAAAATCATTAAAATACCGAAATCGGGAGGTACCGTTATATGGGGGCTATATGAAAACGTGGACCTACATGGACCATTTACGAACTTAACCTGCCTACTGGAAAACTAAACATGTGTGCAAAATTTTAGCCATCTATCTCAATTCAGTCGAAAGATAGCGTGATTACAACAGTCAGACGGACAGACAGACAGACGGACAGACAGACAGACAGACATGTTTAAATCGTCTTAGAATTTTTCGCTGATCAAGAATATATATACTTTGTTGGGTCTGACATGAGTATTTCGAGGAGTTACAAACGGAATGACAAAATTAATATACCCTCCATAGTATGGTGGAGGGTATAAAAAAAGGATTTTCCATGCATTTATAATGGATTTTTTTATTAACAATGATTTCCTGGTCGAGAAAGTTTTTTAAGATTAAAAAACATTACTTTCGCCCAAAATTTGTTGATTTAAAAAAAAACTATTTCGTCAAAGCCTGGGAATATAAAAAAAAACAAAACTTAAAGGTCTCTCGAGACAAAAATCAAGGACTTCCAGAATAAGAAAAATTATCTTAGACTACCGCCTAAACGTTGTGGATTTTTATAAAAAAACAACGAAATTCTTACAAAATATCGTGGATTTTCTATTATAAATAATTTGACAAAAGAAATTAGAAAAAAATTAGATTTCTTACTAAACATAATTTGTAATGACATCCTGGCAAAACAACGCCACGTTTAAATATTTCATTGAAATGCATTTTTAAGAACAATTTGGCCAATGATCCCTCATTTTTTTTAAATACAATTTACAAGACCATCTGATAAAAGACCCCAGAAAATAAAATCAAGGTCATCCTGATAAACTATTTTAGTTTATATGGACATCCATTTCAAGAAATTATCTGACATTTGAATCCATAATACTAATATCATTTTCCATTTCAGATACCCTACCGCCATTCCTGCAGACAACAACTCGTGAGCCCAGCACCACCGAATCATCATTGATACCACCCTCGTATACCCTTTCCCCCGCATTTGGTGATTCAGACACAAGTCCTGTGCCATTCGAACAACGTGGCCCCGAATTGACATTTGCCGAGACGGGCCAAGAGAAAACCTTTGTCTTTGCCGAGAACAATACTTTCATACAAATCGATGGTGATATCATACAAACATTTCAATTAAGGTATGATTACAATGATTACATTTTGGATGTTTTCGTGATTTTCTGTCAATTCTAATTTTTGTGCTTTTTCTGCAGATTATGTCGTGAGATTTCATTTCAATTTCGTACCCGTCTGCCACATGGTCTTCTCGTCTATCACAATGTAAAAAATCCCGATCGCATCAATTTGAATCCGTATGCTTTGTATGTCATCGTGGAGAAGGGACAGCTAAAAGTGGTCCATGTCTTTGGCAAACATTCGACAAGTGTGACGGTGGGTGAGGGCCTGAACCGGGATGAGTGGCATAGTGTAATGGTGAGTAGCTATGTTTTCTATATTACAAAGAGAAGAATATATAGTAAGTTATATGTAATGGAATTGCGGAGAAAATTATTTAGAGGAATTTTACATCGCCAACAATATGTATGATTTTTAATACAATTCAAATTTTTAATTCAGACAATATAAGAAATTTAGGCATCAAGTAAACCAATCAAAATTGAGATATACCCTACGTCAATGGCCACTGTTTTAAGGGAGCACTTGGTTGCGTATGAGTAACGTTTAACATCCAAAAATGTAAATTATACGCACCCAGGCTATAAAATGTTCTATGAAGGGTTATTCTGTATTTTTTACAAATTTTGTTATTGTTTAATTAATGTTTAATTAATTGTTTAATTTGTTGTTAATAGAAAAAAAAATTGTAAAAAATAATAATTAAACATTCGAAAGCTTTTCAGTTATAAATACATCCAAAAAATGCATACAGGGTACAAGCCAAATATATTATAGAAAATATTTTCTATATATTATCAACGGAATTTTTTTATATTGATTTTGTAACGGTGATAATACCAATTGATGATAAATATTGTTACAAAATAATATGTGTCTTTAAATAACAATGCAATACCAATGTCGTTAACGAGTTACAGCACAGGTGTACTGGTCAAAATTTCGAGACTTACAAGTAAAATACAAACGGTTGCATTGCTTTCTAGTTATAATATGAAGAGTTTAATACTAAAAATAATACTGAAAACAATTAAAAATTAATCATTTTTAATCATTAATATATATATATATTATTTTTTATTTAGAAATTATGTATGTCAAATATCTGGAAAATGAAACTTATTAGTACAATATGTAGTAAAAAATATTTTGCAATTACAAAATAATAATCTTTATACCTTCAGTCATAGAGCTAGAGAGGACATACAGGGTGAGATAAAAAAAACTGCAACAAAGTAAAACGCCATAATTTCTAAATTTTTTAAACTTTTTTGAATGAAAGCAAAAACTGTCAGAAATAGCATCAAATTTTGTAAAAAGTTTAGTTTTGTGCGAATTGGTGACCTTTGGCACGAATTATGGCTTTCAAACGGCCAATGAAACCGTCAAACGCTGTCCGAATGTTGCTCTGCGGTATTTTGGCCCATTCCCGGCGAGGCGCTTGCTTGAGGTGATCGACACTTTGGTATTTTTAGTGCCAACCTTGCATTCCAAAATATTCCAGACACACTAGACCAACGGATTGGTATCCAGAGATTTTGGTGACCATTGTGCGCTTGTAACCATTCTTGAATGGCGCGTGCTGAGTTCTGTTGGAATGTCCAAGGTCTGAGGACCAAATTTTTGCGTGCCGAAGACTTTAAGACACCCTCCAGACACCCTCCAGAGTATTTTCGCTACAATATTCGGCATTTATTCTGATGCCACGGTCGATTAATACGAGCGGAGAGCGACCATCGGCTGTTATGGCGACCCACACCATTATCATAGCCGGCTTTTGAGTTCTGCAAGCAACTCTTTAGCTCTTTTGAGTCTATTTTCTATCTGTTGCGGTGTATGTTCTTCCACTTTTTGGAATTTTAATGGCTTTACCCCGAGCTAATTTTTCAATATTTGCCGAATGGAAAATTGCGATATGTCCACTGCGACGCGGGTTTCGATCAAGTCGCTTCTTTACTTTTCGAACCATTTCTGCTGATGTTGCTGCTTACTTTCGTTCACTTCCATGACGTCGGGCTACGCTACCAGTATCACGGTAACGAGCTATGGTACGAGACGCAAAAGATTTATTCACATTTAAATCCTGGAGTGATCTAACGATAGACACTTGTGGTTTTCCAGTCAAATATAAAGAAATCATACCATCACGCTTAAATTCCACTGCAATTACCTCTTTTCTTGAAAATTCTCACGAAAATGTTTTTGTACGCTTGTCACTGGACTAATTTTAACAGCTGTCGGACGAGTGGCTTAGAATGTCTGAATTTGGTTGCAGTTTTTTAATCTCACCCAGTTTCGTATGGCCAAGACGTGCCTCATCGAAATAACGGTTTTATATTCTATGTCTCTTTGGACCAAATCCGTTTCAGGACAATTGGAGTCGATCTAGCGATGTATGTCCGTCCGCATATCTGTCTCTGGCTGTTGCGTACGATAACTGTCGAACGAAATATCCGGTTTGGATCCAAACTTGATGCATCGGATATAATTATCCAAACTTTATAATATTTATCAAACTTACATCGAGTTCGGAGATGGGCAATATCGGTCCACTTCTTTTCGTACCTCATTCTTACTTGGCACATCTCAATATTTCCATCAACACAAGATCTTTTATAAACATGACAGAGTTTGGACTATTCCTTCTGGTACCTCCCGCATAAAAGGGTCAAAACTTTGAATAACTAAAACTATTATTGAAACCAAAACAAGCATCCGGTTCTCTTCATATTTCACACATCCCATTATTTCTTCATACCCAAGATCAGCTCTGAAGATGGAAATTATCCGTCTACTGCTTCTGTTACCCCCGTACAAAGGGTCAAATTTTGAATAATCAAAACGATCATAAAATCCGGAATAAGCATCCGGTTCTCTTCAAATTTCACACATGCAATTATTTTTACTAACACAAGATCTGAAGTGGAATATTTCGGTCCGCTGCTACTTCATACATATTTCCACATTTTCCAAAAATTTGCACATATCTCATATAAATAATAGGAAGTAGACTATGGCATGTTGTAATATTTATATCACACTTAGGTCAGATATGAATTGGACAATATTGGTTAACTGCTTCGGAACTTTTCCCATAGAGAGTCAACTGTTAAAATAATCATAACTCAAAGTTGGGGGTATGCATCTGTTAGCAATGCATATATTAAAATATATCGGCCACTAAACTGTCTCTTCTTCCTTATTTCTTAAATGGTATAGGTATCTGATGGATCAGGATGTGGGTTTATACAGAAAACAAATATTTTATTTAAAATTACATGTTCCAACCTTCGGTTACCTATATCCCATCAAAAAACCAGTAAAAAAAGTCCTAAAGTCGGGCGGGGCCGATTTTATGATACCCTACACCACTTTGCTAATTTAGTTGAGCTCCACATAACAATTAAAAGTTTTTATGGGAGAATTCAATCATACACGCTATGATTATAATTATAATTTAAAATTCAAAGGACTAAATATGCCGAAGCATTTGTATCTTTTAAATTCGGACTTGTGTTGCCCATTTGGTGCGAAATTAATTTGAAATCGGATAAAAATTAATATGGAAACTATATCCAAATCTGAACCGATCTCGATAAAATTTGGCAAAGATATTTCTGAGGTGTATTTGATATATTTCCCTAAATATCGTTGTTACGGAGTGCATATTATGGCTGTGGGTAACAAATACAATAAATCGGATGAATAATATATATGGGAGCTATAACTATATCTGAACCGATCTTCACCAAATTTGGCATTCTACCTTCTAGATAAATTCCATCCCATTTGGACAAATATTAGACGTTTGGTGCACAATTAAAGGTAAATCGGACGAAGTTATATATGGGAGCTATATCCGATTTTTACCGATTATCTCCAATTTCAATAGGGTTCGTCCTTGGGCCAAACAAATGTTGTTTGCAAAATTTCATCTCAATCGGATAATAAATGCGACCTGCATTTTGTTCACAAGAATACATGAACAGACGGACGGACAGACGGACTAACATGCATAAATCGTCTCAGAATGTGAATCTATGCAGATCATCAAAAGAAACTATGGGTCTATCTCGTTTCCTTTTGCCTGTTACAAACAAATGCACATAATACCCTGACCACCTTGTGGTGTAGGGAATAAACATAAAACTACATAATTTACCAGTATATCCTGCCACTTGATAATAAAAGTCAAACGACAATTGAATACAATATTTTTTTTATTAGAAAACATAAATTTCTATTATTTTCGAACTCAGAGTATCAATTCTATTATTATTTTTTTATCTTGACAAAAACTATACCACAATGTCCTGGCATATGACTAGAACTGTAACTATTACCACGAAATACAATCAATCTTATTGATTGCTTCCGATACACAAACGCACGCACCCGCACCCTCCCAGGACCACAATAACATAACAAACCTTTTTTCAATTACCAACTATCATCATCAGCATCAACATCATCCTCGTATTTTCTTTTTTCGTTCTTTTCCGTTTCGTTTTTTTCTTGCACTCCTCTGAGCTTTACGATTCCTTGGCACAACAACATTGAAAAGGATATTCTCTTGGACATAACTCTGGAAGATGACACAATAGAAACACGTAGTAATTGTAGTAAAATGCGTTCCAGGTTGCATTCATTCATGTGTGATTTGTTATCACAAATATGTCCATAGACGTGCAGGCAGGCTGGCTAGTTGACTGATAGACAGAGAACAATCCACCCTGCCAAACAGTCGACTAGCTAACACAACTACAATTGTTGTTTGATTCCAGATACATTTGTGCTACGAATACCCCACAAAAATGTTATTAGTAGCAATGTGACCAGTTCGGAGCAGCCATACACCATGACATCCGTTTTTGCAACTTTCCTTCCACAAACCGAACAGAGTAGGACAGTATGATATACAATGGCCAATTGATAGGAGAAAATGGGACTTGGTGTCTGATCTGAACGTGTGCGGGTGTATTCGATATTGAGTAAATGTTTTTCTACTTTGTCATTGATATTGGTTACACGAAGATGTGCCTGCAATCATATATTGGGGAGAGAAAATCGTATGGACATGAGGACATATTTCAAAATGTTTGTAAATTGTAAAGCCAATTTCGGAAGATCACAAAACAGTACCATAATTATACATTTGAAAATCTAATTTAAGAGAGGAGAGACATTTTCTTAAATGAGAATTCCAAATGTCTTATCAGGGAAAAGTGTGCTGTAATCTACAGAAATTCAAATATATTCTTGGCTTAAGAAGCAACTAAATTTGAAGTATGTCCTCTTATGTTTTCATTGGTAAATTGTGTTTCCCCACATTGTGACGGGTATTCCTATTTTATTTTATTTATTATTTTTAGACCCTACACCACATTGTTGTTACGGTATTATGTTTTTGTGCATTTGTTTGTAACATAGAGAAGGAAGCGAGATAGACCCATAGTTCAGTTTGATGATCTGCATAGAATCACTTTCTGAGTCGATTTATGCCTGTCCATCCGTCTGTCCATATATTTTGTAAACAAAGTACAGGTCGTATTTATTGCCAGGTCGTATTTATTCAGGGGTAATAGTGTAATTTCTTTATATTTGGCTGGAAAACCACAAGTGGCTATTGTTAGAGGACTCCAGTATTTAAATGTGAATAAATCTTTTGTGTTTTTGTACCATCGCTTGTTACCGGAATACTAGAAGTGGACGGAAGAAAACAGCAACATCAGCAGAAATGGTTCGAAATGTAAAGAAGCGACTTGATCGAAACCCGCGTCGCAGTGGCCGAAAAATGGCTCGTGAGCTGAACATATCGAACACATTCCATTCAGCAAATATTGAAAAATGAGCTCGGGGTAAAGCCATTAAAATTCCAAAAAGTGCAAGAACATACACCGCAACAGAAAGAAAATAGACTCTAAAGAGCTAAAGAGTTGCCTTGCTGAATGATGATGAACTGCCGAATTTGGTGTTCTCCAATGAGAAAACATTCGTTGTCCAACAGTTTGTAAACAAACAAAATGATCGTGTTTACTTGCCAAAAAGGTCAGCTGAAAATCTGCACCTTCGGTTGGCCACCAGAACTCAAGCGCCGACCATGGTGATGGTGTGGGCCGACATAACAGCCGATGGTCGCTGGTCGTATTAATCGACAGTGGCATCAGAATAAATGCCGAATATTATCACGGAAATAATCTGGAGGGTGTATTAAAGCCTTGGATACGCAAACATTTTGGCCGGAGACCTTGGACATTCCAACAGGGCTCAGCACCATGGCACTCAGCACGCGCCACCCAAGAATGGTTACAAAATGAAGTTCCTCGCTTAATTTCCAGCTCAAAATGGCCACCAGAATCTCCGGATACCAATCCGTTGGAGTATTGTGTCTGGAGTTTTTTTGGAAGGCAAGGTTGGCACTAAAAAATACCAAAGTGTCGATCACCTCAAGCAAGTGCTTCGCCGGGAATGGGCCAAAATACCGCAGAGCAACATTCGGGCAGCGTATGACGATTTCATTGGCCGTTTGAAGACCATAATTCGCGCCAAAGGTGACCAATTCGAACAAATCTAAACTTATTCTAAAATTTGATGCTATTTCTGTGCTCTAAAATATATCTGGTACCAAATATCATTTTTGTCGAATATATATTACGAATGTGAGGGACTTAATGGGAGCTCTAGCTATATCTAAACCGATTTTCTCCAATTTCGATGCACTTGCTTCTAGACTGAGTTCGGTCGGATGTATCGAAAAAAAGTCAGAGAAAAATCATATTCCAAAAATTATTCGAACAAATGTAAGGCTGCAAATACATAAAAAGCTTGAAGTCATGGCTAGGCATATTAATGCCAAATTATAATGAAAAACGACGGCAGGATTTTAGTAAGGCTCTGTAATTCCTTTGTGAAATGTCACAAAATAGGCCGTGCCATGACTTCAAGCTTCTTATGTACTTAGCCCTTAAACCTATTCTAAAAGTTGATACAATTTCCGACATTTTTGGAATTCACTGAATAAAATTCAAAATAAAATGTAAAACTTATGGCGTTTGACTTTGTTGCAGTTTTTTTTATCTCACCCTGTACTTCAAATTTTGGTGAAAATCGGTTCAGATATGGTTATAGCTCCCATATAAATGTTTTATCCTATTTTGGGTTTTAAGTCCGTCACATGCGTAGTATCCACTCCACAACAATGATCTTTGGTACCAGATATCAGATACAGCTCAGAAATAAGTGCCTAAAATTTTTTTAAGATCCGTTCAGATTTGGATAAATGTCCCATATATATCTTTATTTGATTTCAGGTTTATTGTGCACCAAATGGCAATATCAACCCAAATGAACTGAATATCTGCACTTCCAATGGAATTCAGCCCAGAAGCAAGAAGTTCAAATTTTGGTGAAAATCGGTTATATCGGCTATAGTTCCCGTATATATGTTTCAGCAGATTTGGTATTAAAGTCTCTAAAATCCGTGATATGCACTCCACATCAATGATGTTTGATACCGGACATCAGATACAGTTCAAAAATTCCTCTGCCAAATTTTATTGAGATCGGTTCAGATTTTTATATACATTTGATATACATTTATATACGATTTTACGGTTATTGTTCGCCATGTATGTAACATCAGCCCAAATTGGATAGATTTTTTCATACTCAACCGAATTTTTCCATTTGCTGAAACTTGCTCCAAAAATATTATTAATATAATTCTTATGGAAGTTATATCACGCTCTGTACAGCAATGTTATTTGGTATTAGAGGTTCAAAAATTGATTCAGAGTTCAATATACTTCCCAAATTGTGACTACTCTAAAGCCATGAGACGCATTCAAATAAGGTTTCCAATATATTTTTGGTACGGGAGCTCTACTAAAAACTCATAGTGTTGTAGGGTATCACATCGTCAGCCCCGTCCGACTTTAGACCTCTCCTTAATGTTTTAATTTATAGTTAATTTCTCCGATACAGTCTAATATTTCCCTGTTAACTTATTTGATTCCCAAGAACAACAAAACTCAACATCATTGGATTCAATTCCTGTGCATTTCCCCTATCTTTTGGAATATTCTATTCTAAAGCAATGTTCATCATAATTCCATTTGATGTTGTTGTTGTAGTTCTTCTTCTTTTTCTCTTGGATATGTGGTTGATTGTTTTGTCACTTTGATTCTAGGCAAGATTTATTAATACATTGTTGTTGTTCTTTTTTTTTTTTTTTTTGTTTTCTTTACAAATTTTAGGTACGCATCGATGTCCATGGTGCCAGATTAATTGCACGAGTTGACAATAATCAGGAAGAAGTCTATCTCAAAGGTCTGAATCATGATACCAACTATGGTGTATCAACAAATCTGCCATCCGTTGTTCTAGTGGGAGGTAAGTACGAAATGAAAAAAAAAAAAAAACAAACTTTGATATGATGCAAATTTCTGAAAGTGGTATAGAATTTTTTTCTGGTTATGAAAATATTGAAGAACATGATAACTTACTAGAATATTGTAAAGGGAGATGGGGCGGAGATATACTGGAGGCTATGTTAGCAATATTCTCAGCTTCAAATGAAAAATTGGATTTTGTTGAAATTTTTTTTACAGTTAAATTTTCGTATAGAGTATCGGTATAAATTGTAAAGTATAAATTAAGAAACTATTGTTCTGTAAAAAAAAATCTAAAACATGTAGGAGGATACTAGTGTGGGTCTTAAAATTATTCTTAAAAAATCCACACCTTTGGACTATAGCTGATCGGTTTAAGTTGAAAAATGTAAAAATCGTTGCAGACATAAGTGCCTCTTTAAAATACAGTGGAATTCGATTCAGAGTAGATTATACCCCCAACATTTACTTCGATTTCCTTTAAATTTTAAGGGAATACTTGTTCACGAATTTCAACGTGAAATCAGATGATGACGTTTATGGGAGTTTATTCAAATCTGAACTGATCTCTATTAAATTTATCAGATGAATTTCTATGTTGTATCCCATAGCTGACACCATATATTGTTGTTATGGAGTGGATTTTACGGGTGTGAGGGACTTAAATACTAAATCTGATGAAACATAGGGTGTTTTTTTAAGCCCGATAGAATTTTAAATTTTTTTATTCGAAAGATCAATACGTGCATACATTAAAATTTGAAAATAATTTTGGGCATATGGGCACGGCTGTTCTTAAAGAACACTTTTTCGTGCACTGCTGGCCGTATGTCACGAATAACAGGAACGATGCTGGCCTCCAAGGCGTCAATTGTTGCTGGTTTATCAGCATGAACCAGTGCCTTCATGTAGCCCCACAGGAAATAATCGAGAGGTGTCAAATCGCACGACCTTGGAGGCCAATTGACAGGTCAACTTCTCGAAATCAACTTATCGCCAAATTTTGATTTCAATAAGTCGATGGTTGCGTTCGCCGTATTGCACGTAGCGCCATCCTGTTGAAACCACATCTCCTCCGGATCAATGTCATCCATATTTTTAAACAAAAAATCATTGATCATTGTGCGGTAACGATCTCCATTGACCGTAACGCGAGCTCCGGCCTCATTTTTTGAAGAAATGGAGTCTGTAGGGTCTCTTGTGGATTGGTCTCACTACATGTGTGGCAATTTAGCTTATTAACAAACCCGTTAAGCCAAAAATGCGCCTCATCGCTGAACACAATTTTGCGATAAAACAACGGGTCATTTGCCAACTGCTCTAGAGCCCAATCGGCGAAAAACGACGCATATAATGGGCTCTCATGATGATTTGTCAGAGTATACTGAAACAAATAAAAAAAAGTTTCATCAAAATTTAATTTTTTATGTTACTTTTTACAATTTAAAGTTCTATCTAGCTTAAAAAAACACCCTTCATATGGGACCTATTTTAATGAACTTTGGAACATTATCTTCTATGCTGAATGCGGTCCTATGTACCAAAAATCCATTCTATTTGGGCTTATATTAAAGATTTCAAATCGGATAAGTTTATATATATATATATATTTATATATATATATATATATATATAGATATATATATATATATATATATATATATATATATATATATATATATATGTATATATATATATATATATATATATATATATATATATATATATATAGATATATATATATATATATATATATATATATAGATATATATACGGAAGCTACATCCAAATCTGAACCGATCTCTACAAAATTTGCAAATGTATTTCTGAGCTTTTTTAGATATATTTTCCCAAATATCGTTGTTATGTAGGCATATAACGGCTGTGGGGGACAAAAACAATAAATAGTATGAACAACAAAAAATGGTAGATGTAGCTTTATCGGAACCAATTATCACCAAATTGAACATATTTATTTTTATGCTCAATTTAATCACAATTGTCAAATTGAATCCTTTTGGACGGATATTACCACATTTTGTATACAGTAAAAAATTAAACGAGGATATGTGGGACCTACATCTTACTTTTGGCCGATTTTCTCCAATTTCAATAGGGCTCGTCTTTTGGTCAAACAAAGACCTGTGTAAAATGTTATCAAAATATAACTTAGGTCACAAAAGTACAAAACAGACGGACGGACATCCATAATCGACTCAGAGAGTGATTTGATTAGGATCCTCAAAAATTCCATTTGGATCCTCAAAAATTAGAGTCTGCGGATGAACCTAAAAATGTTTATTCTTAAAAAAATTCTCGAACGTGTCTTAAAAATATTCTCATAAAATGCACGTATTGTCGCTACGAGGGTCCTCGGATGGGCAATAAAAAATCCACAACTCGCGGCAACGAGGGTCCTTGGATTAGCATAAAATATTTTTCTTCTAAAATCCCCACATGGACCTTAAAAACTATTCTTCAAAAATTAAAAAAAGGAAAAAATAATTTAAAAAATCCACATCTGGTGGCTGTGAAGATACTCGCATTGGCCGTAAACTAAGTGAATCCGAGGATTCAAAATTATTCTCTAAAAATCACTTTATGGGCCACGAGAAACATCGGATGGACCTTAAGAGTTTTTCTTAAAAAAAATCACGTTTTGTCACCAATAGGGTTATCGGATGGGCTATACAAAATAATTCTTAAAAAATCCACATTTGTGGCTGTAAGGGTCTTTGGATGGGCCTTAAAAAATAAGTTCAAAAATTTCACTTCCTGTTGCTATGAGGGTCCTTGGATGGCCTTAAACATAATTTTTAATAAATCCACATTTTTGGCTATAAGGGTCATCGGATGGGTCTTAAAAAATAAATTAAAAAGCCCACGTCTTATGGCTCAGAGGATACACGGATGCCTTTGAAAAACATATTTTTGAAACTCCATTCTTACATATGGGCTTTAAAAAGTTATTCTAGAAAAAAACACTTCTTGTAGTCATATGGGTCCTGGGATAGGTCTTAAAGATTTATTCTCAAAAAACACTTCTTGTGGACATGAGGGTCCTCGAATGGCACCTATTTTTTTTTAAATTCACGTCTTGTGGTCATTAGGGTTGGATAGGACCTACAAAGTTATTCTTAAAAACCAAAACATGTGGGTCCTTTCTTCTAAAGAAAATAATCTTAAAAAGTCCACGTCTTATTGTCATGATGATTTTCGGATTAAGCTTTAAAATTATTCTACAAAAATCCTCGTATGTATCCCAAATTATACATAAACAAGTAAAAGAGCTGTAAGTTTGAACTTTGAACACCCTCCACCATTCTCAAAAATAATAAAATCCGTTAAAAATTCTGTTAAATCTTAAAAATACCGAATGTAGCTATTATATTAGGGTCTATACGACGACGTGAACCTGCGTAGTTAACATTTGTCATAAGCCATTACAATATTCAAATGCAAAACTTAAAAAAATCGGTTATAATGTCGATAAAATCAAAATACCGAATATCGGGAGGTACCGTTATGTGGGGGCTATACGAAGACCTGGACCTGCACAGACAATTTTCTGTCGTAGGCTGAAGCATCCATTACGAACTTCAAATATCAAATTTGAAACAATTCTGGTGAAATATGTCCCTAAAATCATCAAAATACCGAATATCGGGAGGTACTGTTATATGGGGGATATACCAAAACGTGGACCTACACGCCCCATTTACAATGCCAACAGTCCTGCACACATAACATACATTTGGGAAAAATTTTATCAATTTACTTCAATTCGTTCGGAAGCTAGAGTGATTTCAACAGACGGATAGACGGACAGACGGACGAACATCGCTAAATCGACATAGAATTTTATGCTGATCAAGAATATATATACTTTGTGGGGTCTAAAATGTGTATTTCGAGGTCCTACCAACGGAATGACAAACTTAATATACCCTCCATACTAAAGTGGAGGGTATAAAAAGGGAAGGCCCCAAAAGCTTTCTTTTTTAAAAATCCACTATTGTGGCTATGAGGTTCCTTCGAAACTATGAATATTTTTGTATGAATCATTCATCAAAATTCCAGCGTGTAGTTTTAAAGGACTTTAAGAATATTCTTAATAATCCTCGTCTTATTGCATTCGAGGTCGTCATAAAATTTTCTTAAAAATCCCCATTTTTCGGCTTAAAGAGCTATTTGCAAAAAAATCACGCTACGTCGCTTTAGAAATTCTTATAAAATAATCCTCGAAAAATCCATGCTTAGGAGGTCCTTCAAAAATATTTGTTAGCAATTCAATTGCTTTGGATGACCTTTAAAATAAACACCTTGACTCCAAGGTATGTGGCTTCCTTAAAAATCCACACCATTTCATTTTACAGGTCCTGAAAAAATATTCCTTGACAATCCATGAAATTTGCCTAAAATAATAAATAATTTAATATTCCCCTAAAAATTGAGCCATGTTGCCTCGGAGGTCCTTAAAAAACATTCCTAAAAAATTCAGACAATGCACTGCTCAATCGAAGAACAAAGAATCAAATTAGAAATTAATAATTATATTTTAATTTTTTTTTTTTAATTTTTATTACTGTACCTCTAACGAAATTGACCTTGTATAAATATTTTGTTTGAAAATAACACAACAATTCACTTCATTTAACAATGCCTTTCAATTCCCACCAAATATTGTCCACCATTTTTTTTTTGTGCAGTGTAATCTGTGGATATGACGGCCAAAACAAATTTCCACCGCAGCTAACAACGTTCTATTCATTCATTCAAGTGTTATAATTGCTAAATTATTCATTCATGAATAGAAATTTGTTCAGTTTAGCTATTTTGGAATTACGTACACTCACACATGCTAACATATTTATGAAATGAATGTGTATATGTGTTTGTGTGTTAAGTCTCTAACTTTACCGATTATGACCTTCGGCAAATAACTTAATTAATGTGTCAAGTCAAACAAACAGCCAAACATGATGCTGCTGATGCTGATGGCTTGAATGGCCAAATCCGTTGAAAGAAATTGTATTGAATATTTGCAACTCAGCAGGCGGTCGTCGTCACATGCACACACACAAGCACACACACATTCGAATGTACATACATGTGTGGTTTCTGTTGTTGTTTAAATTGCAACAGTTAAATTAACTAATTTCGGCCAATATACAAATGTACAAACAAATGCATACATAATTCGAGGAAATGGCGCATTGTGTGTGGAGCTGTGAAAGCGAATGATTTATGGCATAACTTATACGCCTCAGTGCTCCAAGATTTGTCCAGATGATTTTTTTCATAAGTGGTTTGATGTTTTTATACCCTCCACCATACTATGGAGGGTATATTAAGTTTGTCATTCCGTTTGTAACACCTCGAAATATACATTTTAGACCCCACAAAGTATATATATTCTTGATCAGCATAAAATTCTATGTCGATTTATCAATGTCCGTCCGTCTGTCCGTCTGTGGAAATCACTCTAGCTTCCGAACGAAATGAAGTAGGTTGATAAAATTTTACTCAAATGTGTACTATGTCTGCCGGACTTTTGGTATTGAAAATGGGCCATATAGGTCCACGTCTTCGGATAGCTCCCATATAACTGTACCTCCCGATATTCGGTATTTTGATGATTTTAGCTACATTATTTACCGGAATTGTTTCAAATTTGGTATTTAAAGTTTTTAATAGATACTACAGCATAAAACAGAAAATGGGAAATGTAGGTCCACGTCTTCGTATAGCCCCCATATAACGGTACCCCCCAATATTCAGTATTTTGATGATTTTAGCGACATTATTTACCGGAACTATTTCAAATTTAGTATTTGAAGTTCGTAATGGATGCTACAGCCTATCACAGAAAATTGTCTGTGCAGGACTACGCCTTCGTATAGCCCCCATATAACGGTACCACCGATCTTCGGTATTTTCATGATTTTAGCGAACCTATTTACCGGAATTGTTTCAAATTTCGCATTTGAAGTTCGTAATGAATACTACAGCCTATGACAGAAAATTGTCTGTGCAGGTCCACGTCTTCGTATAGCCCCCATATAATTGTCTGTGCAGGACTACGCCTTCGTATAGCCCCCATATAACGGTACCACCGATCTTCGGTATTCTCATGATTTTAGCGAACCTATTTACCGGAATTGTTTCAAATTTCGCATTTGAAGTTCGTAATGAATACTACAGCCTATGACAGAAAATTGTCTGTGCAGGTCCACGTCTTCGTATAGCCCCCATATAACGGTACACCCCGATATTCGGTATTTTGATGATTTTAGCGACATTATTTATCGGAATTGTTTCAAATTTCGCATTTGAAGTTCGTGAAGTTCGATATAACAGCCTATGACAAAAAATTTTGTGTGCAGATCCACGTTTTATAACCACCATGGTACCTCCCTATATTCGACGATTTTAGCTACATTATAAACAGATTTTTTTCAAGTTTCGCATTTGAATATTGTGATATAAGTTGCCTTGTGACAAAAGTTGCCTATGCAGGTCCATGTCGCCATATAGACTCTAATATACGGTTACACGATTTTAACAGAATTTTAAAATCCTTTTATTATTTTTTTTTTTTTTTTTGAAAATTGTTGAATTCGTACCAAATGGTGGAGGGTATTCAAAGTTCGGCCTGGCCGAACTTACAGCTTTTTTTTTACTTATAAAAAAAAACACGTTAAATAACATCAATTGTTATGCCGACAGATGTATACCCCAGCCTAGAATTATGATTATTCCAACTGTTGACTATTTATGGGGGCGGCTCCGAAGCAGATGACCAATATTGCCCCATTCGTATCTGACCTGAGTCTAATAAAAATATCTACTCCTATATTTCAATTTTTGGAAAATTTGGAAATATGTATGTGTGAGGTACCAGATAAAGCGAACCGAAATATTCCACTACCCTTTGTGGGGGAAATACCAGAAGCAGTGCGTCAATACAGGGTGAGATAAAAAAACGACTACAAAGTCAAACGCCATAATTTTTTATTGAATGAAAGGAAAAAATGTCGGAAATCGCATCAAATTTTAAAATATGTTTAGATCTGTTCGATTTGGTCACCTTTAGTACGAATTATGGCCTTCAAACGGCCAATGAAACCGTCACACGCTGCCCGAATGTTTGGCCCATTCCCGGCAAAGCGCTTGCTTGAGGTGATCGACACTTTGGTATTTTTAGTGCCAACCTTGCTTTCCAAAATACTCCAGACACAAAAGTCCAACGGATTGGTATCCGGAGATTTTGGTGGCCATGTGAGCTGTAAACGAAATGAGGAACATAATTTTGTAACCATTCTTGGGTGGGGCGTGCTGAGTGCGATGGTGCTAAGTCCTGTTGGAAGGTCCAATTTCTGCGGCCAAAATGTGAACAAGGCTTTAATACAACCTCCAGAATATTTTCAATTAATACGAGCGGAGAGCGACCATCGGCTTTTATGGCGGCCCACACCATCGCCATGGCAGGCGCTTGAGTTCTGGTGGCCGACCGAAGGTGCAAATTTTCAGCTGACCGCTTTGGCAAGTAAACACGATCATTTTGTTTGTTTACAAACTGCTGGACAACGAATGTTTTCTCATCGGAGAAAACCAAATTCGGCAGTTCACCACTTTCGGCCAAGCAAAGCAACTCTTTACCTCTTTTAAGTCTATTTTCTTTCTGTTGCCGTGTAAGTTCTTGCACTTTTTGGAATTTCAATGGCTTTACCCCGAGCTCATTTTTCAATATTTGCCGAATGGAATATTGCGATATTTTCAGCTCACCAGCCATTTTTCGGCCACTGCGACGCGGGTTTCGATCAAATCGCTTCTTTACTTTTCGAACTATTTCTGCTGATGTTGCTGTTTTCTTCCGTCCACTTTCTTGGCGTCGCTACCGTTATCACGGTAACGAGCGATGGTACGAGACACAAAAGATTTATTCACATTTAAGTGCTGGAGACCAAGTATAAAGGAATCACACTATCACGCTTGAATTCCATCACGAATAACTTTTTTTCTGGAAAATTCTCACCAAAATGCTTTTGTACGCTTGTAAAAAATCACTGGAATAATTTTAACAGCTGTCGGACGAGTGGCTTAGAAATGACAGCAGTCAGAATTTGGTTGCAATTTTTTCGTCTAACCCTGTGTATGCATTTTCCACAGTAGATTATGTGTTAGTAAAAATAATGGCATGTGTGAAATTAGAAGAGAACCGGATACTTATTTCGGATTTTATTATCGTTTTGCTAATTCAAAATGTTGACCTTTTGAGGGTCTTGGGTTAACCAGACCTTGGGTTAATAAGAATACTGGGACGTGTGTAATCATTTGAAGACAATCGGACTCTCTCATCACATTTTATAGGAGTTATAATTATTCTGTCTTTTGTCTGCAGGCAGGTCATGTTCGAAGATGGGCTATATCGGTCCTCGATATCGTATATCCCCCATTGAACTGTATCTCCCGATATTCGGTATTTTGATCATTTTAGCCAAGTTTTCCAATGAAATTGTCTCAAAATCCACACAAGGAATTCTGAGTACTTTAACCCCTGAAGGAGAATTGTCTATATAGGCCACCATATCGTATATCCCCGCGATATTCGGTATTTTCATAATATTATCTACAGTTTTCAATGGAATTGTATCAAAATCCATACAAGGAGTATAGGTCCAAGATATTGTATATCCTCCATATAACGGTACCTCCCGATATGCAACATTATTATTATGATATTAGCAACATTATTCAACAGAATTGTTTTAAATTTCGTATTTGAAGTTCGGAATCGGTACTACAGCCTATGACAAACAATTACTTAGCAGGTTCACGTCTTTGGTATTTTTTTTTTTTTTTTTTTTTTTTTTTTTTTTTTTGAATAATTTCCAGATCCTTTAAAATGGTTATTAAAAGTTCGGAATCTCAAGTAATAAGAAATTCAGAAAATAATGTGTTACTTTTAACCCAACATCACTAACTGCTGAGTAATCTCTTATATCTAAACTAATGTTTTAAAGCCCACAAAACACAATGTTCTGTTTTAAACCAGATTTATACCACCGTCATAGTGTTCTTCAATTATTAATGTTTTTGCCATTCATTCATTTATTTCTTTCATTTTTCATTTCCGTTTCTTTGCAGGCCTCTCCTCCGAAGAGAAATTGCACGGTGTGAAATACATCATCGAATCATTTGTGGGCTGTATACGCAATGTGACACTGAGTTCGGGCAAAGCTGCGTCTGATCTATTGCCCATATCACCGTTGGTGGCCACCAAACATGAAAACGTCAACGAAGGCTGTCCGGACAAATGTCATTCGCGTCACAATTTATGTTTCGTTGGATCGCGATGCATTAATCACTACTATGGCATATCGTGTGATTGTTTTGGTTCACACTACGAGGGCGAGCATTGTGATATTTATAGTGAGTATAGGATACGGATTTTGTTGTTGTTGTAAATACCCTTTTCATTCATTATCCTTACAAGACACCACATTTGCTGACAGTTATTTGCTTTTTGATTTTACCGTTTTTTGTGCCATAATCGGGCAGGAGGGATAATATTCGAAGACCATTTGAGATTATCCCGAAGGGAATGCGTTCTCTTTGACATGCGGGAAGGGGTTTAAAGCTGATGGTAAAATTTAAGAGACCCAATGGAAATCCTTGTAGGTAATGCTGGGAAAATGACAGGACACCATGTTTCTGGGAGAGATCCAAACAATTTGGCTGATATTCAAAATTAGATTTACTGAGTTTTTCATTTTCGACCATGAGTTCCGTTTCGATCCATAGTAAGGGGAAGATGCGTATAAGTTTTATGAGCTCAAAGCTATTGTGGCTGCACAGGCGCACAAATTCAAGTACCAAATCGGGACACGCTTCGGTATATAACTGGATAACAAGTCTGCCTAGGGGATGTAAATTTTTGATATATAAATCCAAATAAATTTTGGGTCTCAGCAGCTGTGCCATTAAATGTTGATCTGTTATAGAAGTCACATCCATATAGGCCTGGATTATGGAATTATCGAGAGGGTGTTTTTCTTTCTCCTTGGAGTTTTTGTTACCATTCGATTCCCTGACCTTCTCCCTTGTGTCCATTGTCGAAGTGACGCTCAACAATCGACGTCCCAATTCCAAATTTTCTCTTTTTATGATTTCCTGTTGCCTATTCACATTTTCCAAATATGTGGATTTTTGTCCCTTGTATTTGTTATAACTACCCGTCTTTCCATGATTCCGTTGTATATAATTTATGCGTCTCAACAACTGTATATTATCCTTAAGAATCCGGCTGCTTGCCTTAAAATCGTCCTTGAGTTTATTCATATTCAGGAAGGTGGTTGCCAAGATCTTGGTGGGTTTCATGTCAATCATACTTTGGGCATTTTCAATGGATTTTCGATGGGACATCTGTAATTTGCGTACAATATTTGGATCCGTTTTGACAATTCTTGGTGTCATTTTGAATTTTGCGTTGAAAATTTACAAGAAATTTGGATTCAAAAAATCAAATTTTTGAAAAATAAAAAAACGAAGTGTACGGAAAAACCCTCAGGGAGAATTTCGGTGAGGATAAAGTAAAACCAAGAATTAGGGGTGACATAACCGAGAAAAGTATTTGAGTACAGGACACTATGAGAAATTTAATCCCCATTCTATTCAAATTAAAATCGAGGGATACAGTTTTTGACTTCATTTTTTTTTCTTTCTTAAAACTTTTTTTATACCGTCCATGATGGGCACGAGGATGATACCACGATTGTATCTTGGCCATTCATAATTTTAGTTTTCATATTCAAATTTACATATATATTCCCATTCCCATCTAATTTTGTTGTTTCATGTCAGCGTCATCCAATTTCTAACGTCCTAATTAAAGTTTGAAATTGAAATTATATCTATAACAAATTTCATAACATCGCAATATCCACACACACCACATTTGTTTATACATATTTACAAATACATCCAGATAGATTTTAAAACTAATGGCACACATTTTGCTAAACTCACATCGAAAAATAATAATAATAAGAACAACAACATTCTATCTATCCACTCATGTGCCATAATCGATGAATTGTTCATTCATGAATGGATTTTTCAACAGCTCTTCGGTGCATATTTGTGGAACAAATGCATATTTGATCATTTATTTTTCCAAAATGTTTGGCCATTGGCAAATAACTTAATTAATCTGTCAGGCCAAACGAATGATCGAACCAGAGATTGTTTGAATAGTCAATGAACAACGATTTGGAAAATAGAAACGTTGGGAAAATATGGGATAATGTTTTGAAAAGAATAATCACACCCCAAATTCTCACCAAGGGGAAGCATTCTATTCTACAGAATTCATACAAAACCAGAGGACTACCGAAAAAACCCACGCCAAAAGGGAGGTTTCTATTCCTAACTTCCCCAAAAAGGGATGTCTTCTATTCTATAGAAAATCTCCCCCAATAGGGAGGTCTTTTATTCTATAGAAAATCTCTATTATTCTATAAAAAAAATCTCCCCCAAAAGGGAGGTCTTTTATTCTATAAAAAATCTCCACCAAAAGGGAGGTCTTTTATTCTCTAGAAAACCTCCCCCACAAAGGGAGGTCTTCTATGCCACAGAAAACCTCTCCCACAAAGGGAGGTCTTCTATGCCACAGAAAACCTCCTCCACAAAGGGAAGTCTCCTATGTCATAGAAAACCTTCCCCACAAAAGGAGGTCTTCTATGCCAAAGAAAATCAGCTCCACAAAGGGAGGTCTTCTATGCCATAGAAAACCTCCTCCACAAAGGGAGGTCTTCTATGCCATAGAAAACCTCCTCCACAAAGGGAGGTCTTCTATGCCATAGAAAACCTCCCCCACAAAAGGAGGTCTTCTATGCCATAGAAAATCAGCTCCACAAAGGGAGGTCTTCTATGCCATAGAAAACCTCCCCCACAAAAGGAGGTCTTCTATGCTATAGAAAATCAGCTCCACAAAGGGAGGTCTTCTATGCCATAGAAAACCTCCTCCACAATGGGAGGTCTTCTATGCCATAGAAAACCTCCTCCACAAAGGGAGGTCTTCTATGCCACAGAAATCCTCCTACACAAAGGGAGGTCTTCTATGCCATAGAAAACCTCCTCCACAAAGGGAGGTCTTCTATGCCATAGAAAACCTCCTCCACAAAGGGAGGTCTTCTATGCCATAGAAAACCTCCACCACAAAGGGAGGTCTTCTATGCCATAGAAAACCTCCTCCACTAAGGGAGGTCTTATATGCCATAGAAAACCTCCACCACAAAGGGAGGTCTTCTATGCCATAGAAAACCTCCTCCACAAAGGAGGGTCTTCTATGCCATAGAAAACCTTCTCCACAAAGGGGGGTCTTCTATGCCATAGGAAACCTCCTCCACAAAGGGGGGTCTTCTATGCCATAGAAAACCTCCTCCACAAAGGGGGGTCTCCTATGCCATAGAAAACCTTTTTCACAAAGGGAGGTCTTCTATGCCATAGAAAACCTCCTACACAAAGGGAGGTCTTCTATGCCATAGAAACCCTCCCCCACAAAGGGAGGTCTTTTATTCTATAGAAAATCTCCCCCAAAAGGGAGGTCTTTTATTCTCTAGAAAACCTCTTCCACAAAGGGAGGTCTTCTATGCCATAGAAAACCTCCTCCACAAAGGGAGGTCTTCTATGCCATAGAAAACCTCCTCCACAAAGGGAGGTCTTCTATGCCATAGAAAACCTCCTCCACAAAGGGAGGTCTTCTATGCCATAGAAAACCTCCTCCACAAAGGGAGGTCTTCTATGCCATAGAAAACCTCCTCCACAAAGGGAGGTCTTCTATGCCATAGAAAACCTCCTCCACAAAGGGAGGTCTTCTATGCCATAGAAAACCTCCTCCACAAAAGGAGGTCTTTTATGCCATAGAAAACTTCCACCACAAAGGGAGGTCTCCTATGCCATAGAAAACCTCTTCCACAAAGGGAGGTCTTCTATGCCACAGAAAACCTTCTCCACAAAGGGAGGTCTTCTATGCCATAGAAAACTTCCCCCACAAAACCTCCTCCACAGAGGGAGGTCTTCTCTTCCACAGAAAACCTCACCCAAAAGGGAGTTGACCTATTCCATAGAAAACCTTCCAAAAAGGGAGGTCAACTGTTCTATTGAACTGTTCTATTCTTCAGAAATCCTGCCCAAAAGTGAAAGTCCTCTAGTCTATAGAAGTCCCCCCCCCAAAAAAAAGCATGTGTGTAGAAGCCCTTCACAAGTGAGGTTCTTTTATTCAAGAGAAGTTCTCCCCAAAATGAAGACTTGCATTCTAAAGAGGTTTTCCCTAATAGAAGATCTAAAATTATATTAAAGTCAACCCGAGACGAGGTCTTCTCTTCCTTGAATTAATATTAATTAATTTCGGAAAAAATTCCATTATGCCGCATTTCGAAAATCCTGATGCTATGCTTAAAAGTTTAAAGGATAAATGGAAACCGGCACAGAAAACCCCCCAAGTTAATGTTTAAAAAATTCCAATGAATTTCTCTCAGTTTTAAAAGTTCAAGAGGCCAACGGAAAAGATAAAAAAAATTCAAATTGTAAAAAATAAAATGGCAAATCTCGGTAAGTGTCACTCTCACCTTGTCTCGCGAAACAACAAATTTGTCTGTGATACCATGCAAGCACACACACACACACATATGTAAAAAAAAACTGGAAACAATTTACCAACTCTACGCTTTAAGCCTTACCGTCGTCTACCATTTCCATGAAAATATATGTCAGATGTGAATTTGTTTGTCTACCAGGAATATGCGACATAAGTCAACATGTCAGCATACATGTGTGTGTATGTGGGTATGCGACACAACCATAGTGTCAGTCAGTCAGTGTAACACAACAACTGCATCCTGGCATGTTCGTGTAAATGACAGTGGCTATACGACGAATCCCAGCATCGCAATCCCATTCACACTCTCTGACAAAATGATGATGGAAAAATTAATTTGAATTTCATGTACTCGCCAAACGGTAATAGGATCAGATCCTAAAGTTCAGACTTCGGATGTAGGTTTGTTCGGAGCTAAAATGACAACTATGTTTGCAGCATTTTGTTTTTATTTCATCTTCTTCAGTCAACTCCCCCCCCTTTTTTTTGAAATTTTGTTGTTGTTGCGAATATAAGCCAGCATGTTGTTGGTCATGGTGTCATCGTTTGTAATCCGTTCTATATTAAAAAAAAACCAGATGTGTTGCCATTTGCAATGCAACATTTTCATTGCCAAGTAATTATGTTATCAAGTGATGGCCATAAAACAGAATAAAAACAGAAATTATTAAAAAAACAAGTAAAAAAGCTGTAAGTTCGGCCGGGCCGAACTTTTAATACTCTCCACCATTTGGTACAAATTTGGCAATTTCAAAAAAAAAAAACCGTTAAAAATTCTGTTAAAATCTTAAAAATACCGAATGCTTCTACGACGACGTGGACCTGCATAGGCAACTTTTGTCATAAGTTATTACAATATTTAAATGCGAAACTTGAAGAAAAATCTGTTTATAATGTAGCTAAAATCATCAAAATTCCGGTAATGGGGGGGGGGGGTACCGTTATATGGGGGATATACGTAGACGTGGACCTGCACAGACAATTTTCTGGCATGGGCTGAAGTATCCATTATGAACTTCACATGCGAAATTTGAAACAATCCCAGTAAATAGTGTCGCTAAAATCATCAAAATACCGAATATCGGGGGGTACGGAATATGGGGGCTATATGAAAACGTGGACCTGCATGACCCATTTTCTGTTTTATGCTGCACTATCTATTACGAACTTCAAATACCAAATATGGAACAATTCCTCTAAATAATGTCGCTAAAATCATCAAAATACGGAATATCGGGGGGTACCGTTATATGGGGACTATATGAAGACGTGGACCTACATGGCTCATTTTTTGACTTAGGATGTAGTATCCATTACGAACTTCAAATACCAAATTTGAAACTATTCCGGTAAACAATGTCGCTAAAATCATCAAAATACCGAACATTGGGGGGTACCGTTATATGGGGGCTACACGAAGACGTTGACCTGCACAGATAATTTTCTGTCTTACGCTGTAGTTTTCATTACGAACTTCAAATGCCAAATTTGAAACAATTCCGGTGAATAATGTCGCTAAAATCATCAAAATACCGAATATAGGGAGGTACTGGTATGTGGGGCCTATACGAAGACCTGGACCAGCATAGAAAATTTTCTGTCACATACAATAGTTCCCATTATGACCTCTAAATACGTAATTTGAAACAATTCCGGTGATTAATGAAGCTAAAATCATCAAAATACCGAATATTGGGAGGTACCATTATATGGGGGCTATGCGAAGACGTGGACCTGCACAGACAATTTTGTGTTATAGATTGTAGTATCCATTACGAACTTCAAATACCAAATTTTAAAAATTTCCGGTTAGCTATGTCGCTAAAATCATCAAAGTACTGGATATCGGGAGGTACCGTTATATGGGGGCTATATGAAAACGTGGACCTACATGGCCCATTTACGAACTTAACCTGCCTACTGGCAAAATATACATGTGTGCAAAATTTTATCCTTCTATCTCAATTTGTTCGAAAGATAGCGTGCTTACAACAGACAGACTGACAGATAGACACACAGACAGACAAACGGACATGGCTAAATCGTCTTAGAATTTTACGCTGATCAAGAATATATATACTTTGTTGGGTCTGACATGAGTATTTCGAGGAGTTATGAATGACGGAATGACAAAATTAATATATAGTATGGTGGAGGGTATAATAAAATAAGATGCTTTCTCAAAATTTAAAAAGTTAAGACATGTATTGCGTGAATGTATACTGCTTGAAATCTGAAATTCGGTATTCAGATCACTGTTAATGTATAGGGTTGAGATTTGGAGGTGGTTTTGGAAATCCGTATTAAAAAGTGCTATATGATAAGGGATTTAGTTTATAGCCTAAAATTAGGCATTATGATCACCTTTTGTCCGGTTTGGTTGACACATGGCTAGGAGATTTGGAAATATGTGCTAAATAGTACGAAAAGTACTAAATAGTATATACCTTAGTATTTGGAGAAAGAATAGAGGTGGATATCTTAAACTAGGAGTGAGAGTCTTTGATGTTGTGTAGGATAGACAAACTAAAGGGGTTTTTTCGAAATTCTAACAATACGAGTACCAAAAGTACTTAAATGCTCTACATTTGGTACCCTTTGGAATTATGTGAACAGATAGTGGTAAAACCTTAGAAATTGGTATGAGAATCGATTCTTGGAAATGGGTTTGATGTAAGGGGGTGGTTTTTGGAAATGTGTACTAAGTATAAGAATTGTAACAAATGGTACTAAATTTTGTACAATTCCGTTTTGGATGAACAGAAGAAGCTGGCAATTTGAAATGTTGATATTGGTCCCTTTTGGTGGTAGATTTGTGATAAAGATGTGGTTTTGGAAATGTGTTTTACAAGTACACCGAAAGTACTAACTAGTACTATATTTGGTACAATTTGGTATTGGGTGAACAAATAGTGCCTGAAATCTGAAATTTGGTATTGGGGACATATGGAGTTGGTTTCGGAAATGTGTACTATAAATGCTACTATATTTGGAATTCCTAAATTCGATATTGAGATCTCTGTTGGTATCTGGTGGTGGTTGTGCAAATGCGTACTATTTTTATTCGAAAAGAACTAAATCGTACTAATTTTAGATCACCGTGGGTGTCTAGAATGGATAGATATAGAATATTTATTTTGTGCGTACTAAATGTTACTACATTTGGTATTGGGTGAAGGGATAGGCCCAGTCTCCTCAAATTTCACATTAAGGTCTCTGTTGGTATCTACACTTATGATATGGATTTCCTCGGGAAATGTTGAGATTTAAACTCTTGACATCTTCTAGGACCTATAGTAGGATCTTATGACAAAAACATTGTAGAATATATTGACTTGTAACGATCCCGTTTAGAGGCTGATTTTAGCCATATTTCTTACCTTTGTTGATTCCCCCGAAGTTACAATTTTCGACCTGAATTTTCCTCGTATTTATACCCTACACCACATAGTGATAAGGGTATCATGTCTTCGTACATTTGTTTGTAAAATGGAGAAGGTAGCGAGATATGTAATTATGGGTCTAAAATTACTTTTGAGGATCATTATAGAATAACTTTCTGAGTCCATTTATGTGTGTCAGTCCGTATGTCCAAGTATTCTTGTGAACAAAATGCAGGTCGCGTTTATCATTCGATTGAAATGAAATTTTGCAAACAATATTTCTTTGGCCCTATTGAAATTGGTGATAATCGGATCAGTTTAAGATATAACTCCCACATATCTTCAACCGATTTAGGGTTAATAGTGCACTAAACGGCCAATATCAGTCCAAATGACCAGATTTTTTGCACATCCGACCGAATCCAGTCTAGAAGCAAGTACATTAAATTTGGTGAAAATCGGTTCAGATATAGCTATAGCTCCTATATATATATATGTTTCATCCGATTTGGCGTTTAAGTCCCTCTAATGCATAATATAAACTCCACAAGAATAATATCAGATACAACGCAGGAACACCTCTGTCAAATTTTATCAAGATCGGTTCAGATTTGGATATAGCTCCCACATATATCCTTAAGCCGATTTCAGGTTTATTGTGAAAATAATGGCTAATATCAGTCCAAATGTTCCAAATTTTGTGGAACTCGGCTCCGATATTTATTTTGTTTTTTGTTATATAATCCTTCCCGTAGTAATATCATGCACTCTATAGCAATGATATAAAAGATTAAAATGTCTCCGTCAAATTTAGTGAAAATCGATTCAGAGTTGCGTATACCTCCCATATATTAGCTCCCTCTGAAACCAAACTATAACTTATCTAAAGCCAAATATTGTTAGGTGGTATGATCTACTTCAAAAAATGCTTTTGTTACGGGAGATCTACTAAATATGCATATTAGGGTAGGGTATATAGGGTAGGGATATAGTCAGCCTAGCCCGAATTTTGACTTTTTCTTACTTGTTTTAATTACAATACTACCGAAGACTTTATAGGACTAAACTGTACGAATTTCGAGGTATCATAATCCGAAAATTTCCAGAAGTCTGGAAGAGGGGGGAATTAGCCCCCTTTATTTAAGATACTTTGCGATGTAAACTTTAAATACGTCGACACATGTGTCTTCTTTTCATAACCTGCTGGATTTTCCCCGTAATTATTTTTTGTGTTGCACAGTGTTATCTAATGTTATATTTGGGGCAAATACGGTTCAAAAAGTTTATAACCACCTAACAAAATGACGAACGTCTAAGAGTCAGATAATCTACAACCAGATGCCGATCCTAGATGGTGGTCACGGTGAGACAAGGTGTGCTCTTTTTAAACCTAATCTGGAAGTTTGAAGTGAAGAAGTGATTTTCAACGAAAAAGTTAAAAAAAATCAATTCAGGAATGAAGCAGCCGTGGTAGTCCTAGGTCAAAATGCAAATGGGTAAAATGTATGGTCTTTCCCTTGGGTAAGATCCATCATTGGTTGCTATTTACAGATTGTTCATAACTGCAGGTCGCACTTAGCCATTAAAGTATTTCATGTAGGTCAATTTCTTTGCATAGTCCCCATATAACGGTTTCTTCAGATTATGGGAATTACAAAAGGTTTTGGTCCCAGATACAAGGTTTGCTACAGATCCAGTATAAAAATATATCCGGATTTTCCTTATTTAATTGTTATAAGCCACACTTTCGGTGTGAAAAAAGGTTTAATCTCTTCCCCTAAAAAATCTTACATGGGATCAAATGGTCTGAAATTTCACATATCGGGCTCAGTTAGAAATTCGCGTTTTCTAGGTTCTCATTTGAAAAGACATTTTTTTCCTAATCCATATCTACACATTTCGGACCTGTCAAACTTAACGCTTAGCAAACATACGTAGCATTCCTACTTCGTATTAAATTTATCTTCCTGAAGGGACTACACATCAAACAATTACCCCTAATATCTACTCAGTTCATGCAAACGTAAAAAATAAATATCTCAATATTGCATGACTTCATTTAGCTGTCATTCAAATTCGAATTATTTCCTTCAATCATTTCATTTTGTTTTTCTTTTCTCTTTTTTTCAAACAAACGAACAAAAAAAAACTCCAGCTGCAACAATAATAACATTACGTGGCTCCAGCTATGTCTCATATCGCATTTACGATTGGAAGGATCGCGTCCACTCGTCAACGACACGTATCAGCCTGATGTTTCGGACACAATTCGACGATTCCGCTCTGTTCTATGCGAGCGGTGAGTCACTGAAGCATCAGTACATCGCCGCATCCATTAAAAATCAGTCAATTTATGTTGAAATGGATTTCGGTGACAATCCCATGTCCACCGTACTGACGGACGAGCTGACACGTAATAATTGGCACAATTTGACCATCTCGCATGAACAGCGTACGGTGCGCATAATACTCGACCAGCAGATGAAGATACTGGAGATACCGTCGACGGTCAGTGGCAACCTGCTCTTCGATCCGGAAATTTATTTTGGCGGCGGACCGGATTTGCATAAGAAGAAGGGTTTGGCATCGCATAATAATTTCGTCGGTTCGTTAAAGAATGTCTACTACAACGATGTGTCCATTTTGTATGAGCTGCATCGTGGCAATCCGAAAGTTCACTATCATGGTAAGTACCAGTTTGCCAGCTATATGTATATGTGTGCATACGTGTAGGATATTTGGTAATTCAGTGTATTTGTATGTGAGTGCCAAGCATGGGGAGGGGGGGCGGGTAGCATAATGGGGGCTAGTTAGCATTACATTTCACACCAACCATCCTCCTGTATCGTCATGCAATGGCCAAATAAGCGAATGAGGGCATCAAAAATCTACAAATGGATACATGCAACATTTGTAGTGGTGTTAAAAAAAATATGTTGCATGTCTGACTAGTATTCTGCATCTGTTATGCTGTGCTTCCGTGCATACCAGCCACACATACACACACACACATATAGTTGTGGTGTACTATAATCTTGTTTTCCTGATGTGCATGTGCAGAGATAATGTATATTTATGACACAATGGGTTATAAGAATAATTTGTAATATGTTATTGTGAAAGATTTTTTTTTTCATCTTTTTTTCGTCCGAGTAATTGAACAAATGAAACGTTAACACGACTGCAATCAATTTGGCGAATAAAATTGGTCGCTGAAGTGATGTTGGTTGGAGATTTTGTTGGTCGAAGTTTTTGGGATTAAATTGGTACTGGTATTGGGGGAAATTTGAAATCTGAGATTGAAATACGGAGTTGGTTTTGGAAATGTGTACTGTATTTGTACGAAAAATACAAATGGATACTGAATTGGGTATAGGGTGAAGGGATACGGTTGGAATCTTGAAATTTGATGTCGGTGCCGCTCTTGGTGTCTGTGGTTGAGAAAAGGTGAAGGGTTAGAGCTGGAATCCTGAAATTTGATATGGATGCCTCTGTTTTTTGGGAGAAGGAGCTTGTTTTGGATATGCGTACTATAATTGTACTAAATGGTACTAAATTTGGTAATGGAAGAAATTAAGGAGTTAACACCCTGAAACTTGATATAATGTAATGGGGGAAATTAAAGAGCTTAAATACTGAAATTTAATATTAAGGGCACTGTTAGCGTCTGAGGATGAGATATAAAGTTAGATTTGGAAATGTGTATTATATTTATTCCAAAAGTACAAAGTGGTACTAAATTGCGTAGTGGATGAAAGGCTAGAGATGAGCGATGGTGCTGAGTCCTGTCGGAATTTCCAAGGTCTGCGGACAAAATGTTTGCGTGCCCAATGCTTTAATACACCCTCCAGAATATTTTCGCTATAATATTCGGCCTTTATTCTGATGTCATGGTCGATTAATATGAGCGTAGAACGACCATCAGCTGTTATGGCGGCCCACACCATTACAATGGCCGGCGCTTAAGTTCTGGTAGCCAACCGAAGGTGCACTTTTCCAGCTGACCTCTTTGGCAATTAACATGATCATGTTCTTTGTTTAAAAACTGCTGGACAACGAATGTTTCTCATCGGAGAAAACCAAATTCGGCAATTCACCACTTTCGGCCAAGCGAAGCAACGAAGTTCTTGAACATTTTGGAATTTCAATGGCTTTAGCTTGGCTTTGGCTTTGGCTTTTCAATATTTGCCGAACAGAATATTGCGATATGTTCAGCTCACGAGCCATTTTTCGGCCACTACGATTTTTCGAACCATTTCTGCTGATGTTGCTGTTTTCTTCCGTCCACTTTCTTGATGTCGGGCTACGACATCACGGTAACGAGCGATGGTACGAGATACAAAAGTTTTATTCACATCTAACGATAGCTACTTGTGGTTTGATATTAAGGTCAGGTATCTGTAGGTATCTGAAGTTGAGATATGGAGTTGGTTTGTAGTAGTATTTGAAGTACTAAATAGTACTAAATTTCATATTGAGTGAAGGGTTTGAGTTGAAATCCTGAAATTTGATATGGATGTCACTGTTGGTGCATGTGTTTGAGAGAAGGAACTGGTTTCGGACATTGGTACTAATTGTGAGAAAGAGTCGAAATCCTGAAATTTGATATTAAGATCACTGTTGGTATCTGAAGTTAAGATATGGAGGTGATTTTGGAAATGTGTACCAAAATTGTTCGAAAAGTAAAATGTAGTATGTACTAATTTGCGTATTGGGTGAAGGGATAGAGGTGGAGTCCTAAAAATTGATAAGGTTGTCGCTGTTGATGTCTGTGGTTAAGAGAAGGAGCTGGTTTCAAATATACGTACTATAATTGTACTAAATGGTACTAAATTTTGGTACTAACTTCGGCTGTATCACCTGGGCGTTGATCTGTACTTCTATAAGCTACAGATCCACTGCTATGGTCGAATTATACAGGCCAATATAGCCTTTGTCGCTTTTAGGAAAGACTCCTTTCTAATGCTTTACTCCTCCCCAGCATCAGAGGAAGCTATCCCGTTGCTAACTATCAACCCGGATTCCGTCCACAACATCATTGAACGTCATATCCACTCATATCAGTCGAGCATTAAACCAGACAAAAAACCTCGACCTATCAAAAGCATTTGATGCAGTCAACGACTCCACACTGTTTGAGGAGGAATGGAGAATTAAGCGCCAATCTTCCGGAGCTTACCGCCTACTTCCACGTAAGGAATATCAAAATATCCGCCACTATATCAACGGCCACACTTTACCACAACAGGGTATGAGTAGATGAGAACAGAGCTTGATGTGCAGGACGAGGAAAAATTAATACCTACCGAGGGAAATACAAACTAGTCTAAGATCCTAGAGGTCACATTCGACGACATATTCAATTAATCCGCGCAAGCCGCAGCTATCTGTGACAAAACGAAAAGTAGAAGAAAGTTCCTCGAAGGCGCCATCACTTGGGGCGCGGGCAAGGAAAGCTTGTTGAACTTTTAACTCTGTAGTCAGCAAGCGGGCCCGGTGTGATCTGCGAATATAAGTGCTACGTAGTGGAAGAGCATCAAGTCTTGCCAGAATGCTACCCTGAGAACTGCGATGGGATGCTACCTTATGACACCAGTTGACCATCTATCATGAGTAGCCGAATGTCCTTCCGCATGTCCGCATAACTATATGCTTTCGTTGCAGTATCAGCTTGGGTGTTATCGTGGGTGTCCTCCAAACCATAATATTGTGGATAAATCTACGCCCCACCCAACTGTGACAGGAAGGCCATATATGATATAGAGAGGGATTTCCGACGCTATAAGGGAGAGCCTATAGGTCAAGAAGCCTATCAGGCAAATATGAGTGTTATTCATACTGATGCACTCACAAATCTCATCAACAATTACAGTATAAATGTCATGGAGCTAAATTTCCCCATAAATTGCAGCTAAAGAAATTCGACTGCCTAGTTAAACCAGGGTACTTTTGGCGGAATTACGTTGAGGATGATACAGTCATCTCAACTCGTATTGTGGACGAATTAACGAAGATTTACTTAACGTCTGCCCTGCCATACCTAGCCCACTCACTCCAGAATATATTGGCTTCTGCCAGCGAAAGTATCCGAATTTTCGAAACTGAAAGCCATATGAAACTGTTACAACAACAACTATGAGTTAATTTCATTATTTTATTAATAGATATAAAACTTCTCGCATAACCCTGTTTCGTTTTCGGTGCGTTTCAGTTGTTATCAACCGGTACTTTGCTTTATTTAATGGGTCTTATGTTACATAATTATCTCATATAATTAAAAACGTTTGCACGGCTATTTTAAATGTTTATCTAAATAAATTTAAGCACTCATACACACACACAAACATATGCACCCAGCCGACGAGATGCATGTAAATGTAACTATAACACCCATACACACATACACATGTACATATCACTGTTTTACTGCACAAGTTAATGTCATGCTGCAAGGCAAAACAACGAAAGAGGGCGAGAGAGAAAAACACAAAAAACACTGCAGATAAAATTTGTGAAACAAGTCTAAGGATGGGGAAACTGTTGCAAATGACCCAAATTAAATTAGTAATATAATACATATGTGAGTGTATATAAACATACATGTATATATATTAAATTGTATTTATATAAATAACATCCTCATGGGAAATGTCAAACCAAACAAACACAATGATAGAGAAAGGACAAGTTGAGGTGTCATTCATTAATTGAATGTGATTTAGAATTAGAATTTATTAACATGTGTTCGGTGCACCGAAAGTAAATGAATGCAAATTTTACAAAATTTAATAATAAAAATTAATGTTTATTGATATTGACAAGTAGTAAACACAAATATTAAATAATACTTTAAACTTGGACAATATCGAAAGCTGGTTTCATGTCAAACAGGATATGTTACCAAAACTGTATAGAACGATATGTAGATACATATTACGATGTGCAAACTTTGAAAAGAACAAAAATTGATAACTCCTTGTTAGCTTTATCATGCACAGACATAGCTGGCTAGTTCGACACTCAATGTCCTACATCAGATTTCTTCAGAAAAATACAGATTACATGTCCTCTTCGGACCGATCTGTCGTCCTCGACTGCACTGACCTAAATTCATATTGCCGTTTAATGTTTCAATCAGGCAATAGAAGACCGACGACATAACAAAAATGCATTAGAAATGTTACAGAAATATGTTATTCCGAAATCGCCACAAAATTGCAGAAACGCGCAAAGAAATGTATCAGAAATAATTGTTATGGACTCAATAATCTATTCATGATCATCTGCGTATACATTTATTAGATAATAAGAATAGGAACTTCTAATACCCATCACCATTTGGAACGAATCGGGCAATTAAAAAAAATTAAATCATTTAAAAATGCTGTTGAAATTTTAAAAAATACCGAATGTAGCCGTTTTATTAGGGTCTATATGACGACGTGGACCTGCATAGGCAACATTTGTCATACGCCATATTCAAATGCGAAACTTAAGAAAAAATCGGTGAATAATGTAGCTTAAATAAGCAAAATACCGAAAATAGGGAGGTATCATTACATAGGGGCTATAGAAAAACGTGTACCTGCGCCGACAATTTTATGTCATAGGCTCTATCCATTATCCATTACGAAATTTGAAGCAATTCCGGTGAATAATGTCTCTAAAATCATCAAAATGCCGAATATCGGGAGGTACCGAAAAAAATAAGGGCTATACGAAGGGCTTTACGAAGACGTGGATCTGCACAGACAATTTTCTGGCATAGGCTGCAGATTCCATTACGAACTTCAAATACAAAATTTGAAACATTTCCGGTGAATAACGTCGCTTAAATCACCAAAATACCGAAAATAGGGAGGTACAATTATATGGCGGCTATACCAAAACGTGGACCCATTTTTAATACCAAAAATCATGCAGACCTAATCTACATTTAAGTAGATTTTTTTAACCTACTTTGTTTCGTTCGGAAGCGAGAGTGATTTCCCTAGACGGACTGACATCGCTAAATTCACATAGAATTGTATACTGATCAAGAATATATATACTTTGTGGGATTTAAAATGTATATTTCGAGGTGTTACAAACGGAATGACAAACTTATTATACCCTCCATACTATGGTGGAGGATATATAAAAATCGGCAGAATCACTATAATCACATCTGACCTGTTATGTTACAACATAATGATGTGACACGCAATCATAAAACCTACTACCAGCGCCACCTATTGTATCAAAGCGACAATACAATGTCCTATCTTTTTGTATGTCTATGACTTTGCCAAAACTCTAAACCCATGTAAAATTCAGTGTCGAAAACAATATTTTTTGGTTCATTTTGAGCTCTAAACATAAATCTCCATTAACTATAGACCTCTATTCAGACCCTAACATTGATTCCGTGGAAATTTTCTCAAATCGAATATTTTCAAAAATTCCCGAAGTGGTATACATCATTTTATGCGGCTAAAATGTGCCTTGTTGTAATAACTATCTTAGATTCCATATTCCATACACTTCTAGAAAATTCTTTAGCACATTTGGAATCGATATAACAATGCTCATTCATCTGTCTGGCTGAATTTCGCCTAAACTTTTCCCTAATTTTTACAATTGTAAATTCGGGATTGGCGATAGGTATCTCCAAAACTTCAAAATGTTGTGAAAAGTAATTCATAGCATAATGAACGACATATTTAAAATATAGGTCAGGTGTTGGCACACATGTTCTTGCACCTACCCGCAATCCGTTAATCTGTCATAGGGTGAAGTATCCATTACGAACTTAAAATACGAAATTTAAAACAATTCCGGTGGATAATGTCTATAATATCATCAAAATGCGGAATATCGGGAGTTATAGTCATATGGTGGCAATACGAATGTGTAGACCATGACCATTCGGAGTTATAAGCATTTTAAAATAGGCTATTTTTCCTCCTTTAATATCTGCAATCAAAAAAAAAAAAAAAACCCGGTATGTCAATATTTAAGGAGTTATGGTCATTTTAAGATAGGCTTTAATAGCTGCAATCAAAATCATGCTAAAAACCCCGAAATGTCAATATTTAAGGAATTACGAGCATTTTAAGATAGGCTTTAATATCTGCAATCAAAATTATGCTAAAACCCCAAAATGTCAATATTTAAGGAGTTATGAGCATTTGAAAAAAGGCTATTTTTCCTCTTTAAATATTTGAAATCAAAATGATGCTAAAAACCCCGAAATGTCAATATTTAAGGAGTTATGAGCATTTGAAAGTAGGTTATTTTTCTTCTTTAAATATCTGCAATTAAAATGATGCTGAAAACCCCGAAATGTCAATATTTAAGGAGTTATTAGCATTTTAAATAGGCTATTTTTCCTCCTTTAATATCTGCAACCAAAATGATACTAAAAACTCCGAAATGTCTATATTTAAGGAGTTACGAGCATTTTAAAATAGGCTATTTTTCCTCCTTTAATATCTGCAATCAAATTTATGCTTAAGACGCCGAAATGACAATATTTAAGGCATTATGATCATTTTAAATTTGGCAATTTTCCACCTTTAAGAAATTGCAATCAAAATGATGCTAAAACCCCGAAATGTCAATATTTAAGGAGTTATGAGCATTTTAAAATAGGATACATTTCCTCCTTTAATATCTGCAATCAAAATCATGCTAAAAACCCCGAAATGTCAATATTTAAGGAGTTATGAGCATTTTAAAATAGGCTATTTTTCCTCCTTTAATATCTGCAATCAAAATGATGCTAAAAAAACCTTGAAATTACAATATTTAGAGCGTTATGAGCATTTTAAAATAGGCTGTTTTTCCACTTAAAGAAATTGCAATCAAAATGATGCTAAAACCCCAAAATGTCAATATTTAAGGAGTTATGAGCATTTTAAAATAGGCTGTTTCTCCTTTTTAAATATCTGCAATCAAAATGATGCTAAGACCCAAAAATGCCAATATTTAAGGAGTTATAAGCATTTTAAAATAGGCTATTTTTCCTCCTTTAATATCTGCAATCAAAATGATGCTAAAAACGCCGAAATGTCAATATTTAAGGAGTTATGAGCAGGCTATTTTTCCTCCTTTGATATCTGCAGTCAAAATGATGATAAAAGCCCCAAAATGTCAATATTTAAGGAGTTATGAGCATTTTAAAATAGGCTATTTTTCCTCTTTAAAGATCTGCAAACACCTGCATACGAATTTTTTTGCCATAAGTTGTAGTACCCATTAAGATTTTCCAATACGAAATTTGAAACAATTCCGGCCTATAATGTCACCAAAATCATAAAAATACCGAATATTGCGAGGTACCGTTATATGGGGGCTATAAACTTACCCTACCTACTCAGAAATTACACATGTGTGCGTAAGCAAAATAAGGTCATAAAATGGAGCCTAAACTTTCAAAAGCAAAGTTGTTTTTTAAAAACCCAAATATACCATAATAAAATCCTATTTTATACCCTACAACACTATGTGTTGGGGGTATTATAAGTTTGATTGGGCCAAAAATTATGTAACATCTCGAAATATTGGTTTCCAACATAGGAAAGTATATATGGATCTTCCTAGCCGAGCTGAGTCGATCTAGCTATGTATGTTCGTCCGTCCGTCCGTCCGTCTGTCCATGTTAATTTGTAATCACTCTACAGGTCGCAATTATAGACCAATCGACGCGGAAATTAGCATGTGGCTAGAGCTTAGGGCTGGGTAATATTTAGTGGGTGAAACAGACCATAACATTTGTGTTAAATAAAAGTCAAATTACCCATTAAACCGCGAATATTTTTAATCCCGGCGAAATCACAAATAGACGAACAGGTCAATTCTGACCATTTCGTAGATGCCGATAGTAAAAATATCTGTCATATATAGCGAAACTTATACAATATATATATGCAAAGGAAGGGGATGTTAACTAGAATGCTTATATCTCAAGAAGGGCTAGGCCGATTTTGTCAATTCAGAATGCCCTCTTGGCATAAATGTATAAAATCTAAATCATCCTGATTTTGCAGCCGTTCTAAAGGTCACAAATAGAAACCAAAGGGCAGGAAATCTCGCATGAAGTAAAAGTTTAGGACAGTGGGTAGAATGGACCACTACTTTTGTGTGAAAAAAAATACCAACAGACATGCAGGCGATATCCGAAATACACAAAAGGCTGATTTCGTTGATGAATATAGCCAAATATCATAGAAAAGTAAATCATCTAGAGGAATCTAAATTTAGGGATGCAGAGGTGAATCTTGCATTTGGAGATGATCGCAAAATATTTAGTGGTTCAAATGAACCAAAAACAGAAAATTTTCCTGATCGCACAATTAAAGCAAAATGTCCCAAATGTCCCAGGTCAAAATTCTAAGGGTAATATCTGGGCAGTGCTCCGTGACATAATTTCAAAACGAATTTTGACATAAGGGGGCTTTTAACATTGTGTAGTGTTGTAGGGTATCACGTGGTCGGCCCCGCTCGACAGCCTTTGCTTACTTGTTGTGATATGAAAAGCAAATTTAAAATATTCTAAAATTTGTGGTGGTTCCTATGCATATATCCAAAAATTCCGTACCAATTGATTGATATTAGCTTGAATTTAGGGCTATTTCAAATGCTACTTTCAGCTACATGCATACTTCCCAGTTGTAAAGACATTACATGGTAAGCATCTTCGGGCAATAATTTTTAATTGTAGACAATCATTATTTTCGAATACTTAAGTCTCTCTGCTATTTATTCAAAATCAAAAAAAAAACTGTCCCATAAGACATTTTATCATGCAAATGTTATGACAATTCCTTGGGGCAAAGGCTATCTCTTTCTGTCTCTGACTTAATTTATTTGCATTGCAGACATCGATGACTTCAATGATTTTGCATCTCCCAAAGATGGCCAATTCCCAAAGTGACCCAACTGTGAATGATATCAAAAGTTCAACCAACTAATATTCCATCTTCATTGTTTCTATTCATCTCCGACTCTGCCTCTCTCTCTCTCTGTCTCTCTCTTTGAATCATTCGTCATGCATTGAATTTTAATAAATCATGAAATATTCAATATTTCAATTGCGTACAAAACTGCATTTTTGCAACAACTCCACACGAATGTAATGTCGTCTTGGAATCATTTCATTTTTACCAATTCACACTATTTGTAGTCAAGGAGGCCCCTCTCATCTGTCTCTTTCTCTTCGCTCTTTGAAACAACAACATCAAAGTGGATAAACTGTAATAAAGTTTTGCAAATTCGTATGATGAAAATTGCATAAATTTGAAAATTTTAACTTCTTTCTTTTGCGTGTATGTGTGTGTGTGCAGCAGAATTGTCTCTGCATTTCTTGTATGGCTGTGTAATAAACCTCTTCTGCTTCTTCTACTTCTTCTCATCCTGTCATTCTTTTTAGGTGTCCTGGAAGCGGAATTTCAAGAAAACGATGTGAATGTCATACCAATAACGTATCCTTTTGCGACGTCACACATTTGGTGGCCCATAAATCATGCCGAAGAATTTAATATCAAGTTCGATTTCCGCAGTAGCCGAACATCGGCAATACTGGCGTACAGCGATGTGACAACCCAAGACGGAAATGGTTTCTGGGAGGTAAGTGTCGAATAAATGTCTTGAGAATGAGTGAGTCAGCCAACGAGCGAGCGAACGAACAAGTGACTGACTGAATGCATAAATGAATGACTGCCTGGCTGCTTGACAGTCTCTGGGTGTGACAGTTTGAGTGTAAACATACATGTATGTTTCAAAAACCAGATACAGTGCAAATTGCAATATTTGAGTGCATGCTGTGGAGTTCTGTATGTGTTTGATTGTTTGTATGAATGTGTTTGTGTGTGCGTGTGCATGTGGGAATATCCTTTAATAAATGATTATTCCATGCTGCACACATCGATATCATTTTTATGAACACTTAAAGCTGCGTGGCTGTTATGATTATAAATACGAGGGTCGATTTAGTAATACGGTGTATAAATATGAAGTCATGGACATTGAAGAAAATTTTAAACCGAATGAGGTTTAATTTGACATTCGGTTCATAACAGAATAGCTACTTAAGGAAAAAAATATCCATAGCCATCATACATCATAAACTCCCGATGTAAACTATTTATTTCAGGAACGTTTACAAATGCATTTACGTTTTTATTGTCTCTTCCGTAAAATGGAGGATATTTAAACCCTCCACCACAAGGTGGCCAGGGTATTATGTCTTTGTGCATTTGTTTGTAACAGGCAAAAGGAAACGAGATAGATCCATAGTTCCTTTTGATGATCTGCATAGAATCACATTCTGAGTCGATTTATGCATGTCCGTCCGTCCGTCTGTCTGTCCATGTATTTTTGTAAACAAAGTACAATTCGCATTTATTGCCCTATCCAGATGAAATTTTGCACAAATCATTTCTTTGGCCCAAGGACGAACCCTATTGAAATTGGAGATAATCGGTCAAAATTTAGATATAGCTCCCATATATATATTCGTCCGATTTGCTTTTTTTATTGTGCACCAAACGTGTAATATCAGCCCGAATGGTATAGAATTGTGCACACACGCAACCAAATTAGTCCTCAAAATAAGCATGCCGAATTTGATCGATTTGTTATTTTTGTCCTCCGCAGCCGTAATATGCTCTCTGTAACAACAGTATTTGGGGAAATATATCAAATACAGCTCAGAAATACATTTGCTACATTTTATAGAGATCGGTTCACATTTGGATATAGCTTCCACATATAACTTCGTCCGATTTAATTTTTATTGTGCACCAAACGTCTTATATTTGTCCAAATGGGATAAAATTTGGCACATACGACCGAATTGAGTGTAGAAGGTAGTATGCAAAATTTGGTGAAGATCGGTTCAGATATAGCTATAGCTCCCATATATATTGTTCATCCGATTTGTTGTATTTGTTACCCACAGCCGTAATATGCACTCCGTAACAACGATATTCAGGGAAATATATCAAATACAGCTCAGAAATATCTTTGCCCAATTTAATCGAAATCGGTTCCGATTTGGATATAGCTCCATAGATATCTTTACCCGATTTTAAATTAATTGTGCACCAAATGGGTAATACAAGTCCGAATTTAAAAGATACAAATACTTCGGCATATTTAGTCCTTTGAACTTTAAATAATAATTATAATCGTAGCGTGTATGATTCAATTCTTCCATAAAAACTTTTAATTGTTATGCGAAGCTCTACTAAATTAGCAAAGTGGTGTAGGGTATCATAAAGTCGGCCCCGCCCGCCTTTAAGACTTTCTTTACTGTTTTTTTTTTTCAAAACTCTAGTCGGAAACGTCATAAAGTACATATATTTGTGAGCAGCATAAAAGTCGATTTAACGACACCCGTCTTTTCTCTTTTGAAACCAATTTTAAAATAGTCGTTGTTTCCAAAATAGTCTATATTTGTCCTAATTTTGTTATAGATATATATGGGAGCTATTTCCAAATCTGGCCCGATCTTGACAAAATTTGATACACTTATTTCAGAGCTATATCTGATAGCTGGTACCAAATATCATTGTTGACTTTACGCCCCAAATCGCATGAAACATATACATGGGAGCTATGGCTATATCTGAACCGATTTGCTCCAAATTTGATGTACTTGCATCCAGACTGAGTTCGGTGGGATGTCCAAAATTCAGGTCATATGGACTTATATTGGTCATTTGAGAGCTATATTTAAACCTGATCCGATTATCAAAAATTTCAATAGGGTTAATCCTTGGGACAAACAAATATTGTTTGGAAAATTTCATCTCAATCGGATAAAAAATGCGACCTGCAATTGTTCACAAAAATACATGGACGGACGGACTAATATGCATAAATGAAGATCCTCAAAAGAAACTATGGGTCTATCTCGCTTTCTTCTCCATGTTACAAACAAATGCACAAAGACATCATTCACTAGGGTGTAAAAACTCTACAACTTTTTTATTTAAACAATTTGAGCCCAAATCTGGTCACATATTATAAAGGTGTATGTCCGCTAGGCATTTTGACTAAGCATATTTATGTGAAATTATAAGAAACAAGTAAAAAAGTAGTAAGTTCGGCCGGGCCGAACTTTGAATACTCTCCACCATTTGGAACGAATTAGAAAATTTTCAAAAAAAATAAAATCCATTAAAATTTCTTTTAAAATCTTTAACTCCCTCTGTGGTTTTTTAGATAATTCATTGGAAAAAGTGGCTAAAATCATCAAAATGCCGAATATAGGGGAGTACCGTTATATCGGGGCTATATGATATTGTGGACCTATATAGATAATTCTCTGCCGAGGTATAAAGTACCCACAAGGAACTACTTGTGTGGATTTTCAGACAATTCCATTGAAAAATGTGGCTAACATCATCAAAATACCGAATATCGGGGGTACCGTTATATGGGAACTATACGATATCGTGGACCGATATAGCCCATTTTCGAACTTGACCTGCCTGCAGACAAAACAGAGATCTGTGTAAAATTTTAGCTTCCTATCTTAATTCGTTTAGACTGTAGCGTGATTACAACAGAAGGACAGACGGACAGGACTAAATCGTCTTAGAATTTTACGCTGATCAAGAATATATATACTTTGTTGGGTCTAAAATGATTATTTCGATGAGTTACAAACGGAATGACGAACTTAATGTACCCTCCATACTTTTTTTGGTGGAGGGTATAAAAAACGACCACAGGATTTTCCATGAGAAGATTTCGAGCTGCTTATGTAGCCACATCTTAAGCTTGAAGCAATTCAAGGTGCAAACTTTTTCTTACATGAGTACATGATATATGGAAAACGATGAGATTTTTTTGGGCTTCTACTGTAAATCGACTGATTTCAATTAAAAACACTTTAAATAGAATTTCTTTCTTTTCTTTTATTGTTCATGTATGAAAAACACGAATCTTAATACTATTTGAATTTAATTCTGTACTAAATAAAGATTTTAAGTTTACTACTTTTCTGAAAAGGTTCTACTCATAAGTTTTGCTTTAAGATATTCAAAATTCTTTTGCTAATTTCTTGAAGTAATATTTATATTCCTTGACGTTATTCCATTTCCTTCAATGTCCCAGTTTGGTGGTCAGACGCTTCATTTGATTTGCCCGTTGAATTTGTTGTTTCAATTTCGACTGGAAGACAATGTTGCGACTAATGGCCAAGACATCGTCGGTGCTGCATTTCTTGATATTATTCACATTTTTCTTGATCAGCTTATCGGTCAGAGTCAATTTGGTGCGTTTCAAACGCAGCGAAGATGTTTCCGATTTACGTAACTGTTCTCGGTACATGAAGAGTACGTAAGTGATGGATTTGTCTTCCATGATGAATGGCTTCGATGTTTACTTGACGATGAGTTCTAAGAGACTGATACTTTGCTTTGGAGAATGTACTGGTTTATATACCAAAATATTAGTACAGATCTTCTGTACTAGATTTAGTTAGGGTCATTAGGTATTTCCCATAGATTATTTTGATCTCATTCTTTACCTCAACAAGGGCAAGGTAAGTCTTGTTTTTTTTTTCTAATTAAAACATGTAAATTACACTAGTCAACATTTTTAAAATATTTGTTGTGGCTGTTGGTGTTACCTGCCAAGATAAAGGATATGGCTTGGATTTTTCACCAAAAACCACACAGGACACTAACATTTGTTTTTTAATAGCCCAACTAGGTAGTCAATCCACTCAAAAATATTAATAACTCTTCAGAATCATTCATGCAAATATACGACTATTATGGTAGTAACATAAAGCGCCAGGTGTGAATAATATCCGCACTTACCACACATTGACCTGACCTGGTTTCCCATAATTGTGCTCAAAATAAAAAAAAACATGTTTAAGCTTGTATTAAACTGACCTCGAGTTCTTCCATTACTAAGGATTAATTTAAAATCCTTTGGGAAGAGACAATGTACAGTTGAAAAAATATTTATAGTTTGAAAATCGACACGATTTCTGGTTAAAATTGTCGTAAATAAAGTTCTTATAATAAACGAAATATTTCCCCGGTTTTCTCTTAATTTAATTTAATATATTTATTATAAAAACACTAAAAATTGAGCGACAATTTAAATATCAATTCCTCTGGTACCTCCCCAGTCGAGTTTGAATAGTATTTCTCAAAAAAAGAATCGTGATTTATTGACAGATTTATCAAATTTTGCACCTTTTAATATTTCCCTCAATGTAGGCTTTAGTTTAAAAATGAGATCACAAAGCGTAAAAATTTTGAGAAATAATAAAAAAACTAATAAAAAACTAAAATAAGAAACTATAAAAAGCTGTAAGTTCGGCCGGGCTCAACACTGAATACTCTCCACCATTTGCAACGAATTTGGGAATTTCAAAAAAAAAAAATAAATAAATAAATAAATAAATAAAATAAAATAAAAGCCGTTAAAAATTCTGTTCAAATCTTAAAATTTACGAATGTAGCCGTTATATAGGCAAGTCATAAGCCATATTCAAATGCTAAACTTGAAAAAAAATCGGTGATTAATGCAGCTAAAATCATCGAAATACTGAATATAGGGAGATACCGTTATATGGGGGCTATACGAAGACGTGGACC